ACATAAATTTATTTAAAAATATAAAATTTATACATATTATACATCATTAGAAAGCTTATCAAAACAACTTAAAAATAGCGATTATTTAAAAACGATTTAAAAACCTCTACAAAAACCTTTCTTTTTATATATTTAAAAAATAGATTTCTTTAAAATATTAACTTTATACCTTTTATACATCATTAGCAAGCTTATCAGAAACATTTGAACAAAATTTCCTCAAGAAACAACATAAAAATAACAATTATTTAAAAACTATTTAAAAACCTTAAAAAACACTTTTCTTTTTATATATTTAAAAAATAAATTTCTTTAAAAATATAAATTTTATAACTTTTATACATCATTAGCAAGCTTATCAAAATGGTTTAAACATAATTTCCTCAGAAAACAACTTAAAAATTACAATTATTTAAACACTATTTAAAACTCTTTCCTTTCAAATATTTTAAAAATAAATTTCTTTTGAAATATAAATTTTACACCTTTTATACATCATTAGCAAGCATATTAAAATCATTTGAATAAAATATTTCTCAAAAAATAATTTAAAAATAACTATTATTTAAAAACGATTTAAAAACCTCCTAAAAACCTTTTCTTTAAAACCTTTTTTTTAAACTCTTATTAAAAAGAAAATCAATTTCTTTAAAGATAAACATTTTATAACTTTTATACATCAATAGCAAGCTTATCAAAAACTTTTTAGTGAATTTTCATTTAAAAAACAATAACTTTTTAAAAATAACAATTATATATTTAAAAACAATTTAAAAGCGTCTTCAAAAACATTTCCTTTCAATTACTTTGAAAAGAAAATCAATTTCTTTAAAAATATATCTTTTATATATCATTTGAAAGCTTATTAAAAACATTTTAACAAATCTTTAAGAAAAAAAAACATAAACTCAAACAAAAAAAGTTATATATTTAAAAATCTCTTCAAAAACGTCTCTTTTTAATTATTTAAAATATATATTTCTTTAAAAAATATAAATTTTATGCCATTTATACATCATTAGCAAACTTATCAAGAACACTTGAAAGAATTTTCCTAGAAAAACACAAACGTTTCTTTAAAAACAATTTAAAAACCTCTTTTTAAACCTTTTTCTCTCAATTCTCTTTAAAAAGATAAACAATTTTTTTATGATTATAAAATTTATACCTTTTATACATCATTAGTAAGCTTATCAAATACATTTTAACGATTTTTTTCTTAAAAAAACACAAAATTTTCTTCAAAATAATAATTATGTTTTCAAAGACGATTTAAAAACCTCTTTTTAAACCTTTTCCTTTCAATTGTTTTCAAAACGAAAATCTAAATCTTTAACAATAAAATTTTATACATCATTAGCAATTTTTCAAAATAATAATTATGTTTTTAAAAACGATTTAAAACACTCTTTTTAAAAAGAAAATCTAAATCTTTAAAAATAAAAATGTTATAACTTGTATACATCATTGGCAAGCTTATCAAACACATTTTAACGAATTTTTCTTAAAAAAACACAAAAATTTCTTCAAAATAATAATAATGTTTTGAAAAACGATTTATAAACCTCTTGTTAAACCATTTCCTTTCAATTCTTTTTAAAAAGAAAATCTAAATCTTTAAAAATATAAATTTTATAACTTTTATACATCATTGGCAAGCTTATCAAACACAATTTAATGAATTTTCCTTAAAAAAAGTAAAAGCTTTTTAAAAATAACAATTTTTTACATAAAACCCATTTAAAAACCTTTTCTAAAACCTTTTCTTTTAATAATTTTTCAAAAACTTTTCTTTTGAAAATTTAAATTTCCCCAAAAATTTTCCCAGCAAATGGTTAATTGTACAATTAACAAAATTGCTTAAGAAAATAACAAAAATTTTCAAATATGTCATCAATTCTAGACCTAAAGATCTTTAAAGAGATTAACTTGCGCCTGGGGAATACTTCCCTTGAAAAACACAATTTCTTAAACACTTATTAAGAAGGAGTACAAATGACCTTTTTCTTTTGGAGTAGCACACTAGCTTTGCATGCTCTTTTTTTAGCAGCATTGGCCACAAAAAAAGGGGGATACCGAATGTAATTGCTAGTGTCTTACAAATTATCAACCAACAAAAACAGGGGGGGATGAAATAAGGAAGAAAAACTCCATTTAACTACAAACAAAATGTGACATTAAACCAAAAGAAATTGAAGCTAGAGTATAGTCGAACTATATTAAAAAGCAATCATATGGAAAATTATTAATATTTATGAGGAAAATAAATTTTAAGTAACAAAAACAATTTAATCCTTTATATCTTTTACTTAAAGAAAACAATAAGAAAATCTGTTAAAGACTAAGAAATATTTTAAAACTTTTTATAATTAATTTATTTTAAAACTGTTTATTTAATAACTTTTTGTAATTGCACTCTGTATCTCCCTTATTTTTCTAGTTATAAGTTAATTTTTATTAACTAATATTAACCCTACAACGTCCTAAATAATGTTTGTAAAAATGCCTCAAAATTCCTCTCATTTGAAAATTCAAAAATTTTTAAAAATTTTCAAATGCCATTTCTTTCATTTGAGATGTGGTTGTAATTAAAATTTATTTAAAAAAAATGGAAATTGTTTAAACAATTTTTTGTCCATATTTTAAATGAGACAATTGTGGCATTTGCTTTTAATTAAACCAAAAACTGTAACTATGTATATCCACTTAATACAAGTATTTAATAAGTTCTGATCAATATTTAGTTTATGGAAAAATTTATATTGTTTGCTTTAAATTAAGTTTAATCTCTTTACAAAGATCTATTTAATAAAAAACATATATATTTTGTATTTATTTAATTAACTCAAATATCCATAATTTAAGCTGAAACTTGTAATAAAACTAATTTATTTAAATAAAAATTGTACAAACCATTTTGCATATTAAAAAAAATCTTATGTGTTTTTCTTTTCTAACTATATAATAGAAATCATATTGAAAATTTAGCAGATTTATCTACATTGCTCTTTGACAAAAGTCAAACCTTCAAAGTTTCTTAAACTGTCTCATAATTCTTAAACAGTTTATATGAATTTCAATATATGAATCGGTACAAACAATGCTTCAGGGTTAGAAATCATAACAAGATGAGTCCAAAATGATTATTTGGTTCTAATAGCAGAAGCATTTATATTGGAACTGTCAAAGATTTTATCCATTCCGTAGCTATAGTATACTAATAATAGGACATTCCTTTGGTCTTAGAAAGAGACATCTAATACTTTTAACAAAATTGGATACAACAAAGAGTAATGCATTTTAGAGACAATCTAGATTGTGACAGATATCTCAATCTTCCTTCTACAGTGGTACCGATTCTTCGCCATCGTCTAAATAACTTCTGCACAAACTATCTATAGTCTCTTCTTAAGTCTAGTGTATAGTCTAGTCTATATTCCAGTCTAAAAACTAGTGTATAGTCTAGTCTGTAGTATTAATCTACAGGTTACACTACAATCATGAAAGCTTGTACCAAGATATCTCAATCTTCCTCTTGTAGTTGTACCGAATCTTCTTCATCGTCTAATTAACTTCTGCGAAAACTATTCTATTGACTAATCTTAAGTCTAGTGTATAATCTTGTCTATATTCCAGTCCAAAAATTAATGTATAGTCTAGTCTAAAGTCTAGTCTATACTCTAGTCTATAGTCTAGTCTATAGTCTATAGACTATAGCCTATAGACTATAGTCTAGTCTAGTCTATAGTCTAGTCTATAGTCTAGTCTATAAAAATTAATGTATAGTCTAGTCTAGTCTAAAGTCTAGTCTATACTCTAGTCTATAGACTATAGTCTAGCCTAGTCTAGCCTAGTCTAGTCTATAGTCTAGTCTAAAGTCTAGTCTATAGTCTAGTCTATAGTCTAGTCTATAGTCTAGTCTATAGTCTAGTCTATAGTCTAGTCTATAGTCTAGTCTAGTCTAGTCTAGTAGTCTAGTCTATAGTCTAGTCTATAGTCTAGTCTATAGTCTAGTCTATAGTCTAGTCTATAGTCTAGTCTATAGTCTAGTCTATAGTCTAGTCTATAGTCTAGTCTATAGTCTAGTCTATAGTCTAGTCTAGTCTAGTCTATAGTCTAGTCTATAGTCTAGTCTATAGTCTAGTCTATAGTCTAGTCTATAGTCTAGTCTATAGTCTAGTCTATAGTCTAGTCTATAGTCTAGTCTATAGTCTAGTCTATAGTCTAGTCTATAGTCTAGTCTATAGTCTAGTCTATAGTCTAGTCTATAGTCTAGTCTATAGTCTAGTCTATAGTCTAGTCTATAGTCTAGTCTATAGTCTAGTCTATAGTCTAGTCTATAGTCTAGTCTATAGTCTAGTCTATAGTCTAGTCTATAGTCTAGTCTATAGTCTAGTCTATAGTCTAGTCTATAGTCTAGTCTATAGTCTAGTCTATAGTTCTATAGTCTAGTCTATAGTCTAGTCTATAGTCTAGTCTATAGTCTAGTCTATAGTCTAGTCTATAGTCTAGTCTATAGTCTAGTCTATAGTCCAGTCTATAGTCTAGTCTATAGTCTAGTCTATAGTCCAGTCTATAGTCTAGTCTATAGTCTAGTCTATAGTCCAGTCTATAGTCTAGTCTATAGTCTAGTCTATAGTCTAGTCTATAGTCTAGTCTATAGTCTAGTCTATAGTCTAGTCTAGTCTATAGTCTAGTCTATAGTCTAGTCTATAGTCCAGTCTATAGTCTAGTCTATAGTCTAGTCTATAGTCTAGTGTATATTCTATAGTCTAGTTTATATTCTAATCTATAATCTAGTCTATAGTCTAGTGTATATTCTATAGTCTAGTTTATATTCTAATCTATAATCTAGTCTATAGTTTAGTCTATATTCCGGTCTATAGTCTAATCCAGTCTATAGCCTACTCAATAGTCTAGTGTGTGATTCAAATAATTTTTAAATTGATCACATTAAAATTATATAATTACGTATGCTCACCCTGTTTTAAACAAGACGATTATAAATTGTTTGACATTTTTTGTCGGTTCAAAATTTACATAAATAAGAAACGCATACATATGTGGAACACATATGTACATACATATTTACATATGTTATGTCCATGCTGAGATGGTTTGTGTATTTGATAAAACATGTTGTTTGACTTTACTATTTTAATAAACATTTATCAAATATATACACCAAGTTTCTAATAAGTACTGCCAAGTTCGCAAAATAGACCGTTATTTTCAAAAAAATGAAACGGCCTTTTATTTTTTTTAAAAAACTGTAATAAAAAAATTCCAAAAATTTGGTTAAAATAACTCTCAAAAGAGTGGGTTTTTTTCGGAGTTGATTATAAGGTTGATTAAAGCTATGTAGTTAATTATAATAATGTGGAAAACAAATTTGAAATAAAAAATTGAATGGAAAGTGTATGGGTTATTAGAATATATCCCGATAAATCAGAAAATATAAGCATATGTATATTCTGAATCCTTACAGATACTGAATTCTTTTTGGCCACATCCATCATTACTAAATAAGTATTCAAAATTTCAAAAATCTATCAATATGATCCTAGGTTGGACTATTTGGTCTGAGCGAAGCTTAATCTGTGACTAACAAACTCGATACTAAATTAAACTTTAGGTTGCAACTAAACTTTCACAAACACAAATTAAAATATATTTTAAATTATTTCATTTCAATAAAAATTTAAAATATTGAACTAACTTACCATGGTTTTTCACTTTGAAGATTTAACCATCAGCAGTTATCAAATTGAATTATTTGAGGGAAAATTTAATTTTTTAATTTTTTTTTCCAAACTTCAAATAGAATTCATTCCTTCTAACTTCTGGTAACATTTAAAAACTTTATAATGTTTAGCAAATTTTAATCTTTTATGTATATGTAATTCTACAACACAATACTTTAATTTAATTTCAAACTTTGCTATTTCACTTTACTAAACATTTTTTTCTATACTTTATTTTAATTTATTTTTTTTTTATTAAATTTTCTCATTTTCATTTATTTAACAAAAAAATATATATTTTTCTTATTTTAAATAAATTTCCTATTTTTGAATATTTTAATAACTTTTCCCCTCAAATTCCTCTAATACACAACTAGGCAACTCCTTTTCTTATTTTTCTTTTCTTTAATAGAACTTTCGCGCGTTTCGCGCTTTATTTAAAACAACAACAGTAGCAAAGACTCCTTAAGACTTTTGCTAAACACACAAACATACACTTTTCTATGAATTTCTTTACACTTAAATATTTCTTTAAATAATTTGATTTCCAATAATATTTCATATTACCCTTATAGATAATTAAATTATCTTTAATTTAACACTAATTTTATTTTATTTGAGGCACTATTTATATTAAAATTATTAAATTAAATCACAACACTTTTGTACGAACAACTTTTAACCGACCCGAAAATATAACGAACTGAGGAGATGAAAAATTACATGAAGATGTTGCAATGTAGAGATACCAGATGGTAGAAAAGAGTCAACTGTTTCTAAATTGGCGTTTTTATTAGTTGGGATGGCGTTTTTGGAAGTAATTGGGTATTTAGTAATTATGAAGGAAATAAAACTAGACTACAAACTAAACTATAGTCTAAACTATAGACTAGACTACAGTCTAGACTATAGACTATAAACTAGACTATAGAATATAATGTAAATAAAACTACAGGCTATAATATAGACTATACTAAACTATATACAAGACTATAAACTAGACCATAGACTAGACTATAGACTCGACTATAGACTGGACTATAGACTAGAATATAGACTAGACTATAGACTAGACTATAGACTAGACCATAGACTAGACCATGGACTAGACTATAGACTAGACTATAGACTAGGCTATAGACTAGACTATAGACTAGACTATAGACTAGACTATAGATTAGACTATGACTAGACTATAGACTAGACTATAGATAGACTATAGACTAGACTATAGACTAGACTATAGACTAGACTATAGACTAGACTATAGACTAGACTATAGACTAGACTATAGACTAGACTATAGACTAGACTATAGACTAGACTATAGACTAGACTATAGACTAGACTATAGACTAGACTATAGACTAGACTATAGACTAGACTTAGACTAGACTATAGACTAGGACTATAGACTAGACTATAGACTAGACTATAGACTAGACTATAGACTAGACTATAGACTAGACTATAGACTAGACTATAGACTAGACTATAGACTAGACTATAGACTAGACTATAGACTAGGACTATAGACTAGACTATAGACTAGACTATAGACTAGACTATAGACTAGACTATAGACTAGACTATAGACTAGACTATAGACTAGACTATAGACTAGACTATAGACTAGACTATAGACTAGACTATAGACTAGACTATAGACTAGACTATAGACTAGACTATAGACTAGACTATAGACTAGACTATAGACTAGACTATAGACTAGACTATAGACTAGACTATAGACTAGACTATAGACTAGACTATAGACTAGACTATAGACTAGACTATAGACTAGACTATAGACTAGACTATAGACTAGACTATAGACTAGACTATAGACTAGACTATAGACTAGACTATAGACTAGACTATAGACTAGACTATAGACTAGACTATAGACTAGACTATAGACTAGACTATAGACTAGACTATAGACTAGACTATAGACTAGACTATAGACTAGACTATAGACTAGACTATAGACTAGACTATAGACTAGACTATAGACTAGACTATAGACTAGACTATAGACTAGACTATAGACTAGACTATAGACTAGACTATAGACTAGACTATAGACTAGACTATAGACTAGACTAGACTAGACTATAGACTAGACCATAGACTAGACTTAGTGTAGACTTGACTACAGTATTTGCTTTATAATTACTAAATACCCAATAACTCCCAAAACCGTCATCCCAAATAATAAAAACGCCAATTTATAAACCTTTGGCTTTTTTCTACCATCTGGTTTCTCTACATTGCAACATCTTCCTGCAATTGTTCATCTTCTCAGTTCGTTATATTTTCGGGTCGGTTAAAAGTTGTTCGTAGAAAAGTGTTGTGATTTAATTTAATAATTTTAACATAAATAGTGCTTTGAATTAAATAAAATTAGTGTTAAATTAAAGATAATTTAATTATCTATAAGGGTAATATGAAATATTATTGGAAATCAAATTATGAAAAGAAATATTTAAGTGTAAAGAAATTCATAGAAAATCGTATGTTTGTGTGTTTAGCAAATGGCTAAAGAAGTCTTTGTCGTTGTTGTTGTTTTAAATAAAGCGCGTAAAGTTGTAATTAAGAAAAGAAAAATAAGAAAAAGAGTTGCCCAGTTGTGTATTAGAAGAATTTGAGGGGAAAAGTTATTAAAATACATATTAAAAAATAGAAAAAATTATATAAAAAAAGAAAAATTTTTTGTTAATTAAATCAAAATTTGTTTTAAATAGTTAAAATTGACGTTTAATTAAAGTTTAATTAAAATATAAATTAAAATTATCGTTGTAAAAATATAAGAAAGATAAATATATTTATCTTAAACATTGTTTAGTTTTTAATTGTTAGAAGAATTGAATTATATTGAAAATTTTTTTGTAAAAAGATCTGAAAGAAATTAATGTTTTCCGCTGCTAATTAAACTTTCGAACTGGAACACTGTGGTAAGTTAAATCATAATTTTTATTAAAATTAAATAATTTCATATAATCGCGAATTTTCTATTATATGAATACTTTTATCGAAATTTTTCAGTAAACCGACAATTTTTATTAAAATTTTTTTATTAAAAGAACATATTTATCGAAAACTTTCTATTAAAAGAAAATGTTTATAGAAAATTTTCTATTAAAAGAAAATTTTTATAGAAAACTTTCTACTTAAAAAAAATTGTCTCAAATAAATATGTATATATTTTAGGCCAGGGACTAAGCCTATTTTAATTGATTGAAATTGGACCAACCAATGTTTAGAATACGATTCGGATTTTAGTCCTTGGATTTATAAATTTGTTGGCCTGTGTTATTAGGTCAATAACATTCATAATTTATTGATTATTAGTAGTAATTAAGTCAATTGCAAAATTGTATATCGATTAAAAAATAATTTGCAAACAAACCAAAATTCAAATAAAATATTTACTAAATATTTTTAATGCAGGGTCAAAGGTCAAATTTTTAAAGATTTCATATTTTTCAAAAATAATAAAACATTTAGTCACAATTTTAGTAAAAAAGGCAACAATATTATAGAACGAATAAATAAGTTAAAATAATTGAATAATATTGAACTTGCAACAAAAATATATTTTAATTTTTATTGAAAATTTTATTATTAAACACTTTTTCTCCAATATAATATTATACAAAAATTACTGTTAATCTAAACACGATATTAAAATAGACACTTTTTGATATTGATTATTTTTAAAAAAATTATTGAAAGGAAAACTTCAACGATTTCTAATAACCAAACGTTTTTTCGATTCCACTCTACCTTTTACGATTAAACTGAAAATTAAATCAATATCTTCTTTTAAATAAACCTCTACGCGGAATTTTGTTTCCGGTATATAGGGCGGAAAACTTTCGGGATCAATTTTCAATTGTTTAACATTAATTTGTGTAAACTGTGAAGTAGAAAAATTAAAAAAAAATAAATTTTATTAAAAGTTATTACCTTTTCCACGGGACACTTTTCGGGTAAATTGGAATATTTTACAAATTCTTTGCGTATAATTTGCAAAATATTATAAGTATCCTTATTTTGAAGAAATAGACAACCATCGACATTGGTAAAATTAACCAAAACAAAATCTTTTTCATCTGGTCTCTCGTTAATAATCCAAAAATCCAATTTAGGCTTTAAAAGTTCGGTATTGAAACGTACATTCATATTGAAGACCTCCTGATTACGTTTCAACTTAACAATGGAACAGTTTAAGAAATCGGTCATTTTATTATTTTGCTTACATTCGGTGGCATCGAAACGAATGGTAAATGACCGCTAGAATATATATATAATTTTGAATAGATCATGAGAAATATCGTTTAAAAGGCAATATATATAATTCAAAGAACTTTTTACCCAAGCTAAACATAATTCGCCCGATATAAGCATTAGTGTTATGAAAAAAATTAATGTTGTCATTTTAGGTGACTTTTTAAAACTAAAATTTATTAAAAGTTGATCAATGATATAACTAACTGTCGGAATTTATTGCTAAAAACAAAAGGTTTTAAACGTTTTATTTTATTAATTGTCTTTTAATTAAAGTTTGCTTTTTTGTTATGAAATTCATAAAATTAATAGCTCACATTTAGAGCGTCGGTGTTAAAAATATTTTACTATATTTTGAAAGGGAGAAATTATGTATTTTCGATTTTAGACCGATTTTTGGAAAATTCATATGAAGATTGTGTCTGTAATTATAGACCAATTCCTAAGAGATGAAGACCACTACACAAATACTGCTATAAATACGTATATACTACAAATATCTATGCCCGATCAGGTCAAATTATGCGAGGACTTTTATGAATGTTGTAATAATAGTTTCAATAAGAATAGATCTTGTTTCGATGAAAGTTTGTTTATCTGCAAAACTATTAACTGTAGTTTACTTTCAAGATAATGACTTAGAACGTGCTAGTAGTACACTGTAGGGTATACAAATACCCTACTATAAAAAATGTTTGATAATAACCCTTACATCATCCTAGCGGATGATAAAACGTTATTTAGCTCATTAGGTTATGCAGTTTAAATTGAAAATCTGTTGATAAATATGTATGTTCTAAATATTTAGTTGAACCAATTAAAAATGTTTAATATCTAATACGCAAAAAAAACTTGTTGACATTTCAATCAATTAGTATGATTAAGCCAAAATGTGAAAGAGTAAAATCGTTTTTACATTAAGAGAAAATATTAATTATTTAGACAAAAATGTATTTAGTAAATAAGAAATAGGGCTGAATGTGAAACCAATCTTGAAAGAAATAACCTCGGTTCTTGATAACAGTGACAGGATTAATACCGACAATGACTACTACTTACCATCTGCATTACTTTTAAGTACTCTTATAATGACTTGCATATAATCAGTTTTGCCGTTTTATTTGCAAAATTTTATTGGATCGCGCGGTTGCAACTGTTTTTTTACACACACAGAAAGCAAATAGTTTTTCAGTGTGAAAACCACTATTGGTCGCACCATACAATAACTAAACATTGGTGATGTGAGTAAGACAGCGAACTAACGAACAAGAATTCCAGGTTCGTGAGCATTTTTTGTTTTTAAACAAAACAACTCTTTATTTGTAAGTACTTATTTATGTAGTGATTTGTAAGCGAGCGTGGTAAGTACTTGCCTCCAATGTCATCAACGTCTTAAAATAATGAGTTAAAATACTAATGAATAAGTAGTGAAAAACGGCTTGTTGAGCTTTTTAACACGTTATTTTTCATTGTAAGTTTTTGCTGGACTCTTATTTCATTAATATTTTACTAAAATGTTCGGCATTAAATATTGTTTACTGATCATAAACAGGGATGGACAATTTGGTAATAATGACTTTTCCCAGTACTTTTTATCATCGATAAATACTGTAATACCCCATAATGTATTAAGTACATTTGCTATAGTATACACATTCAAATTAGTCCATATACTAGTTAATAGACTAGTCCATAACATAATTTATTAACTCGTCTATTGTCTAACCCATAGACTAGTTCATGATCTATTCAATATATTGGTAATTGCATAATCAATAGTATATTCCACAATATACTCGCCAATAGTCAACAGATTCTTAAATTAGTTAATACATTAGTCCATAGTCTAGTTTGGAGTACATTAAATATATATCGCAGTTGCCCTTAACCTTTAAAATTGTAAAAACTATGATTAGTACATTTTAGAGATGTTAGTTTTATTTCATCGACTGATTCAAAAAATCATTGAATATGGCTGCATAATTCATCCGCGTCCAAAAAACATGTTGGCTTTAATTAGCCATATTAATTACTATTTAAATTAAAAACAAGTAAGAAAGTATAGTCGGGCGTGACCGACCCTACATCAGTTATAAATATTAAATGTGATTTATTTTTCATAATAAAGCATTTATCTTCTATTACCTTGTTCCGATACATTTAAGCAATTTATTAATAAACAAGTAAGAGTGTTATATTCGGCTGTGCCGAATCTTGTATACCCACCATCAAATCATTGCCAAAAAGGAATGCTTCCTTATAAATAAACTTTGATATTTAAGAATCGATGCTTTTGTTATTATCAAAACAATTTTCTCATTTATTACATCTATGTATAGGGAAATTTTTGTCGAATTTTGTCGCTGTCCTTGTATTTTTAAGGTAGCAAAAAGCGTTAGAGTTATTTTCTGAGGGGACGTTTGGTCAATTATGGACCGATCCTCGTCAAATTTTCTATAACGATTTTAGTTTAGGCTAGTAATGAGCGTTAAAGTCATTTTCCGAAGGGGACCGTATATGGGGGTAGGATAAATTATGGACCGATCGTTATAAAATTTTACAAAGCGATTTAGGTTTCTATAGAATAAGTTTATGTCGAATTTCATCGCTATAGATGCTTCTTTTAGACCATTCTGAGCGTTAAAGTATTTTTCTGAAGGGGACCTTATATGGGGAGTAGGGTCAATTATGAACCGATCCATATACAATTTTACAAAGCGATTTAGGTTCCTATAAAATATGTTCATCTCGAATTTCATCGCTATAGATGCTTCTTTTGGACAGTTATGAGCGTTAAAGTCATTTTCTGAAGGGGAACTTATATGGGGGGTAGGGTCAATTATGGACCGATCCTTATAAAATTTTACAATGATAAAAAGGTTCCTAAAAATATGTTTATGTCGAATTTCATCGCTATAGATGCTTTTTTTAGTCAGTTATGAGCGTTAATGTCATTTTCTAAGCGGGACCTTATATGGGGGATAGGGTCAATTATGGACCGATTCTTATAAAATCTTACAATGATATTAAGGTTCCAAAAAAATATGTTTAAGTCGAATTTCATCGCTATAGCTGCTTTTTTTAGTCAGTTATGAGCGTTAATGTCGTTTTCTGAGGGGTACCTTATATGGGGAATAGGGTCAATTATGGACCGATGCTTATAAAATTTTACAATGATATTAAGGTTCCTAAAAAATATGTATATGTCGAATTTCATCGCTATGGCTGCTTTTTTTAGTCAGTTATGAGCGTTAATGTCATTTTCTGAGGGGGACCTTATATGGGGGATAGGGTCAATTATGGACCGATCCTTATAAAATTTTACAATGATATTAAAATTCCTATAAAATATGTTTATGTCGAATTTCATTGCTATAGCTGCTTTTTTTAGTCAGTTATGAGCGTTAATGTCATTTTCTGAGGGGGGCCTTATATGGGGGATAGGGTCAATTATGGACCGATCCTTATAAAATTTTACAATGATACTAAGATTCCTAAAAAATATGTTTATGACGAATTTCATCGCTATAGCTGCTTCTTTTAGTCAGTTATGAGCGTTAATGTCATTTTCTGAGGGGGACCTTATATGGGGGATAGGGTCAATTATGGACCGATCCTTATAAAATTTTACAATGATACTAAGATTCCTAAAAAATATGTTTATGACGAATTTCATCGCTATAGCTGCTTCTTTTAGTCAGTTATGAGCGTTAATGTCATTTTCTGAGGGGGACCTTATATGGGGGATAGGGTCAATTATGGACCGATCGTTATAAAATTTTACAATGATATTAAGATTCCTATAAAATATGTTTAAGTCGAATTTCATCGCTATAGCTGCTTTTTTAATCAGTTATGAGCGTTAATGTCATTTTCTGAGGAGGACCTAATATGGGGGATAGGGTCAATTATAGACCGATCCTTATAAAATTTTACAATGATATTAAGGTTCCTAAAAAATATGTATATGTCGAATTTCATCGCTATGGCTGCTTTTTTTTTAGTCAGTTATGAGCGTTAATGTCATTTTCTGAGGGGGACCTTATATGGGGGATAGGGTCAATTATGGACCGATCCTTATAAAATTTTACAATGATATTAAGATTCCTATAAAATATGTTTATGTCGAATTTCATTGCTATAGCTGCTTTTTTTAGTCAGTTATGAGCGTTAATGTCATTTTCTGAGGGGGACCTTATATGGGGGATAGGGTCAATTATGGACCGATCCTTATAAAATTTTACAATGATACTAAGATTCCTAAAAAATATGTTTATGACGAATTTCATCGCTATAGCTGCTTCTTTTAGTCAGTTATGAGCGTTAATGTCATTTTCTGAGGGGGACCTTATATGGGGGATAGGGTCAATTATGGACCGATCCTTATAAAATTTTACAATGATATTAAGATTCCTATAAAATATGTTTATGTCGAATTTCATTGCTATAGCTGCTTTTTTTAGTCAGTTATGAGCGTTATTGTCATTTTCTGAGGGGGACCTTATATGGGGGATAGGGTCAATTATGGACCGATCCTTATAAAATTTTACAATGATACTAAGATTCCTAAAAAATATGTTTATGACGAATTTCATCGCTATAGCTGCTTCTTTTAGTCAGTTATGAGCGTTAATGTCATTTTCTGAGGGGGACCTTATATGGGGGCTAGGCGAAATCGTGGACCGATATTGCCCATTTTCAATACCAAACAAACTGCATCAATATAAAATATTTGTGCAAAATTTCAGCTCGCTAGCTGCTTCCGTTTGGACTCTATCGTGTTTTCAACAGACGGACAGACAGACGGACGGACATGGCTAGATCGTCTTAGAATTTAATGAGGTTCCAGAATATATATACTTTTATGGGTCCTAGATGAATATTTCGATGTGTTACAAACGGAATGACAAAAACAATATACCCCCCATCTTTTTGATGGTGGGTATAAAAATTAATTTTCTGAAAAAGGCTTTATATGTGGGCTAGGGTCAAATATGGACCAAGTCCGACAAAAATTTATATTTATATAATATTTATTTGCGCTGAATTCCATCGCGATATTTGTGTTTATAAGTTAATTTTTGACATTCAAGTAATTTTCTGAAGAGGACTTTGTATGGGGGCTAGGGTCAAATGAGGCCCAATCTCTATGAAATTTGGCAAAGTCATCAAGGCTTGCATAAAACTTAGTTCTGCCACTTTTTATCGATATACAGGTATATTTAACATAATTATGAGCTCAGAAGCCCTTTTCGGGGGGTTCTGTTGTATGAGGGCTAGGTGAAATAATGGACGGATTTTAACCATTTTCAGTAGGCTTCTGGGCTTTTGGGCAAAAAAAAAAGCGTGTGTGCCAAATTTCATCCAATTATCTTGAAAATTGTGACCTGTACCTTGCAAGGTTTAAATGGACAACCAGCCAGACGGATGGACGGGCATAGCTTAATGGACTCAGAAAACGATTCTAAGCCGATTGGTATACTTTAGGACGAATATTTTTGTATGTTACAAACATCAGCACTAATCCAATATACCCTCCCCACAAGTAAGTAACAATCAGATATGGACGGTCGTATGATGCCCTATCTATCTATCTATCTATCTATCTATCTATCTATCTATCTATCTATCTATCTATCTATCTATCTATCTATCTATCTATCTATCTATCTATCTATCTATCTATCTATCTATCTATCTATCTATCTACCTATCTATCTATCTATCTATCTATCTATCTATCTATCTATCTATCTATCTATCTATCTATCTATCTATCTATCTATCTATCTATCTATCTATCTATCTATCTATCTATCTATCTATCTATCTATCTATCTATCTATCTATCTATCTATCTATCTATCTATCTATCTATCTATCTATCTATCTATCTATCTATCTATCTATCTATCTATCTATCTATCTATCTATCTATCTATCTATCTATCTATCTATCTATCTATCTATCTATCTATCTATCTATCTATCTATCTATCTATCTATCTATCTATCTATCTATCTATCTATCTATCTATCTATCTATCTATCTATCTATCTATCTATCTATCTATCTATCTATCTATCTATCTATCTATCTATCTATCTATCTATCTATCTATCTATCTATCTATCTATCTATCTATCTATCTATCTATCTATCTATCTATCTATCTATCTATCTATCTATCTATCTATCTATCTATCTATCTATCTATCTATCTATCTATATATCTATCTATCTATCTATCTATCTATCTATCTATCTATCTATCTATCTATCTATCTATCTATCTATCTATCTATCTATCTATCTATCTATCTATCTATCTATCTATCTATCTATCTATCTATCTATCTATCTATCTATCTATCTATCTATCTATCTATCTATCTATCTATCTATCTATCTATCTATCTATCTATCTATCTATCTATCTATCTATCTATCTATCTTATCTATCTATCTATCTATCTATCTATCTATCTATCTATCTATCTATCTATCTATCTATCTATCTATCTATCTATCTATCTATCTATCTATCTATCTATCTATCTATCTATCTATCTATCTATCTATCTATCTATCTATCTATCTATCTATCTATCTATCTATCTATCTATCTATCTATCTATCTATCTATCTATCTATCTATCTATCTACTATCTATCTATCTATCTATCTATCTATCTATCTATCTATCTATCTATCTATCTATCTATCTATCTATCTATCTATCTATCTATCTATCTATCTATCTATCTATCTATCTATCTATCTATCTATCTATCTATCTATCTATCTATCTATCTATCTATCTATCTATCTATCTATCTATCTATCTATCTATCTATCTATCTATCTATCTATCTATCTATCTATCTATCTATCTATCTATCTATCTATCTATCTATCTATCTATCTATCTATCTATCTATCTATCTATCTATCTATCTATCTATCTATCTATCTATCTATCTATCTATCTATCTATCTATCTATCTATCTATCTATCTATCTATCTATCTTTCTAACTATATATCTATCTATCTATCTATCTATCTATCGATCTATCTATCTATCTATCTATCTATCTATCTATCTATCTATCTATCTGAATTACTACTATTATCATGAATTCTTCAAAGATATTTTCAAGATTTAATTTTCAGAATAAATTTTTGAATCATGCTCACTTAAAATTTTTAAAATAAATAATAGATTTTGAACGAATCGTATAAAACGATTTAATTAAACTATAGTAGATTATATTAGAGCGACTCATATTTATAAATAGTTTTTCCACAACCATTCTTCCCCTTGTTCCACATCCTATGATTTGGAAAACAATAAAAACCAAATATCAAAACATAATGACTTAATTAAAAAAGATCTTATTAGCGATAATGTTATTAACGAGACATATTTTGATACACTCATTAACCATAATTGATTTATAAATAGTTGATAAATATAAAATACTTTCCCATAACATTTGCAGTTTAACTGGAACATTTAAAAGACCAACGATGAAAATTTTATTGTGTTTAACTATAATAATTTCTACAAATAAAATTGTCTTATCCTGGGTAAATTAAATGATACTTTATAAGAGAGAAAGTTTTTTTTTTTTTCATTTAAAAAACTCATTTTAAGCGTCCCTTCAACGTTCACCTAACCGATGTAACATGTTTTAGTAATAGTTCTAAAATATCCTATATCAACTGCTCGATTGGTATGGACAGTAATAAGGGAGGATTAAATTTTAATGTGAAGTTTGAGGAAGAAATCAATAAGCCCATGTTTGATGTGATATTAACTTTAAAACGTAACAGCCAACCGGATTTTGTTTTAATCAATACATCATTTAATGCTTGTTCCTTTTTCGAAAATAACAATATTATGCAAATGTTGAAACTAATACGAGATGAGGTTTATTTGTATTCGGAAAATTTTCCCAAAGAATGTCCCATTAAGAAGGTGAGTATAGGGAATAGTGTTCTATAAGTTGAGATTTTTTTGAAGAAAATGTTTGGTAAAAGTTTATCAAAAATTTCAATAAATTGTTAACAATTTTAAAAGTAATTTCTTTTCACTTTCAGAACACTGAGGTCAATATTATAAACCTATACTTTAAAGCCGATAACTTGCCCAGTTATGTGCCGGAATGTAAATTTTCCTTAACATACAAACTTTGGCAATTAAAGGAAAAACTTCTTGAAACCACGATAATGGGTTCGGTGGAAAACAAAATAAAAATGCGCAAAAAGCCTTTAAAAAATACGAATTAAAAATAAAATATACATTTGCTTATATTGGTTTTTAAGACAATATTTTGTTATTTTTTTGTTCTTTTTTTTAATTTTTAGTTTCTTTAATAAATTAAAATAAAACATTTACACAAACATAAAAAAATAGAAGAATTGTTGTAGATAAAGTAGATGATTGTGACAGCAAAATAAACGTAGAAAGTATATAGAATTATTAGCCGGTACTTTGCATAAACATATTTTACATTTATAATTTTAAAGTTTAAACAACAATAGTGATTTTGATAGTTTTATAAATTTATCTTTTTATTTACGAAATAAAACTTGTGTTGTAGAGTTTTTACTTTTTTTTTTAAGTTGGTTTGGTTTGTTTTCCAGTGATTAAGTAGTAGACTTTTATTCATTTCATTTTCATATGCAAGCTGTTTAAACTTTTTTGTGTGTGTGTGTTTTTTGGGTTTTTTTGTATACAAGACTACAACAGCAAACATAAAAGAATTTATACATTGTTCTACAAAGATTTGAAAACTTTTATGTTTAGCTCAAGAGAGTTAATTTACAAGCCAGCTAAAATAATTCTGGGATCTTCAACGGCAGCCTTAATTTTACGTAAGAACATAACAGCCTCACGACCATCAATCAATCGGTGATCGTAAGTAAGAGCTACATACATCATGGGGCGAATGACAACCTGTTAATTAATAAAAAATCGATGTAATTTAATGTTTTCAATTTATATTATTCATATTTACCTGTCCCTTAACAGCAACGGGTCTCTCAAAGATACCATGCATACCCAAGATAGCACTTTGTGGTGGATTGATAATAGGTGTACCCATAAGGGAACCGAATACACCACCATTACTAATGGTGAAGGTACCACCGTCCATATCTTCAACAGCAATAGCACCCTTGCGAGCCTTGTCACCCAAAGCAGCCATAGCAATTTCAATATCAGCATAATTCATGCCTTCAACATTTCTGATAACAGGCACCACCAAACCTTTAGGGGTAGCAACGGCTACAGAAATATCAACATAATCACGATATACGATTTCCTGTAAATGTTTAAAAAAGACAAATATATTAGTGTTTAATTCATGTGAATTTAATAAAATTGTTTAAATTATTTTGTGAATTTAAAACAAATTAAACTCATTTTGTTTCTAAACAGATTAAATAGTTAATTTTCATCACATCTTCTAACTCATAATGTTAATTCGTTCAATAGTCTAGTCTATAGTCTAGTCTATAATCTAGTCTATAGTCTAGTCTATAATCTAGTCTATAGTCTAGTCTATAGTCTAGTCTATAGTCTAGTCTATAGTCTAGTCTATAGTCTAGTCTATAGTCTAGTCTATAGTCTAGTCTATAGTCTAGTCTATAGTCTAGTCTATAGTCTAGTCTATAGTCTAGTCTATAGTCTAGTCTATAGTCTAGTCTATAGTCTAGTCTATAGTCTAGTCTATAGTCTAGTCTATAGTCTAGTTATAGTCTAGTCTAAGTCTAGTCTATAGTCTAGTCTATAGTCTAGTCTATAGTCTAGTCTATAGTCTAGTAGTCTAGTATAGTCTAGTCTATAGTCTAGTCTATAGTCTATAGTCTATAGTCTAGTCTATAGTCTAGTCTATAGTCTAGTCTATAGTCTAGTCTATAGTCCTAGTCTATAGTCCAGTCTATAGTCTATAGTCCAGTCTATAGTCTAGTCTATAGTCTAGTCTATAGAGTCTAGTCTATAGTCCTAGTTCTATAGTCTAGTCCTATAGTCTAGGCTATAGTCCTAGTCTATAGTCTAGTCCTATAGTCTAGTCTATAGTCCTAGGTCTATAGTCTAGTCTATAGTCCTAGTATATAGTCCAGTCTATAGTCCTATTCTATAGTCTAGTCTATAGTCCTCTAGTCTATAGTCTAGTCTATAGTCTCTAGTCTATAGTCTAGTCTAGTAGTCTAGTGTCCTTATAGTCCAGTCGATAGTAGTCTCTAGTCCTATAGTCGAGTTCTATAGTCTTAGTCTATAAGTCTAGTCTATAGTCTAGTCTATAGTCTTCTATAGTTAGTCTATAGTCTAGTCTATAGTCTAGTCTATAGTCTAGTCTATAGTCTAGTCTATAAGTCTAGTCTATAGTCTAGTCTAATAGTCTAGTCTTAGTCTGTCTATAGTCTACTGTCCTATAGTCCTAGTCTATACTAGTCTATCTATAGTCTAGTCATAGTCAGTATAGTCTAGTCTATAGTCTAGTCTATAGTCTATCTATAGTCTAGTCTATAGTCTAGTCTATAGTCTAGTCTTATTTCTATAGTCTATCTATAGTCTAGTCTATAGTCCCTCAGTCTATCTATCTATATCTAGTCTATAGTCTAGTCTATAGTCTAGTCTATAGTCTATAGTCTAGTCTAGTCTATAGTCTAGTCTATAGTCTAGTCTATAGTCTAGTCTATAGTCTAGTCTATAGTCTAGTCTATAGTCTAGTCTATAATCTAGTCTATAGTCTAGTCTATAGTCTAGTCTAAGTCTAGTCTATAGTCTAGTCTATAGTCTAGTCTATAGTCTAGTCTATAGTCTAGTCTATAGTCTAGTCTATAGTCTAGTCTATAGTCTAGTCTATAGTCTAGTCTATAGTCTAGTCTAGTCTAGTCTATAGTCTAGTCTATAGTCTAGTCTATAGTCTAGTCTATAGTCTAGTCTATAGTCTAGTCTATAGTCTAGTCTATAGTCTAGTCTATAGTCTAGTCTATAGTCTAGTCTATAGTCTAGTCTATAGTCTAGTCTATAGTCTAGTCTATAGTCTAGTCTATAGTCTAGTCTATAGTCTAGTCTATAGTCTAGTCTATAGTCTAGTCTATAGTCTAGTCTATAGTCTAGTCTATAGTCTAGTCTATAGTCTAGTCTATAGTCTAGTCTATAGTCTAGTCTATAGTCTAGTCTATAGTCTAGTCTATAGTCTAGTCTATAGTCTAGTCTATAGTCTAGTCTATAGTCTAGTCTATAGTCTAGTCTATAGTCTAGTCTATAGTCTAGTCTATAGTCTAGTCTAGTCTAGTCATAGTCTAGTCTAAGTCTAGTCTATAGTCTAGTCTATAGTCTAGTCTATAGTCTAGTCTACAGTCTAGTCTATAGTCTAGTCTATAGTCTAGTCTATAGTCTAGTCTATAGTCTAGTCTATAGTCTAGTCTATAGTCTAGTCTATAGTCTAGTCTATAGTCTAGTCTATAGTCTAGTCTAGTCTAGTCTAGTCTATAGTCTAGTCTAGTCTATAGTCTAGTCTAGTCTATAGTCTAGTCTATAGTCTAGTCTATAGTCTAGTCTATAGTCTAGTCTATAGTCTAGTCTAGTCTATAGTCTAGTCTAGTCTAGTCTATAGTCTAGTCTAGTCTATAGTCTAGTCTATAGTCTAGTCTATAGTCTAGTCTATAGGCTAGTCTATAGTCTAGTCTATAGGCTAGTCTATAGTCTAGTCTATAGGCTAGTCTATAGTCTAGTCTATAGTTTAGTCTATAGGCTAGTCTATAGTCTAGTCTATAGTCTAGTCTATAGTTTAGTCTATAGGCTAGTCTATAGTCTAGTCTATAGTCTAGTCTATAGTCTAGTCTATAGTCTAGTCTATAGTCTAATCTATAGTCTAGTCTATAGTCTAGTCTATAGTCTAGTCTATAGTCTAGTCTATAGTCTAGTCTATAGTCTAGTCTATAGTCTAGTCTATAGTCTAGTCTATAGTCTAGTCTATAGTCTAGTCTACAGTCTAGTCTATAGTCTAGTCTATAGTCTAGTCTATAGTCTAGTCTATAGTCTAGTCTATAGTCTAGTCTATAGTCTAGTCTATAGTCTAGTCTATAGTCTAGTCTATAGTCTAGTCTATAGTCTAGTCTATAGTCTAGTCTATAGTCTAGTCTTAGTCTAGTCTATAGTCTAGTCTATAGTCTATAGTCTAGTTATAGTCTAGTCTATAGTCTTAGTCTAGTCTATAGTCCCTAGTCTATAGTTAGTCTCTAGTCTAAGTCTAGTCTAAATAGTCTAGTCTATAGTCTAGTCTATAGTCTAGTCTATAGTCTAGTCTATAGTCTAGTCTATAGTCGAAAGTCTATAGTCTATAGTCTAATAGTCAGCATAAGTCTAAGTCTATCTAGTCTAGTCTATAGTCTAGTCTATAGTCTAGTCTATATAGTCTAGTCTCTAGTCTATCTATATTAGTCTAAAGTCTCTATAGTATAGTCTATAGTCTAGTCTATAGTCTAGTCTATAGTCTAGTCTATTGTCTAGTCTATTATAGTATATTATATAGTGTATTCTATAGTCTCTAATCTAGTGTATTGTCTGGGTCTATATTCTAGTCTATAGCCTGTCTATCTTGTCTAGCTGAAAATTAGTTTAGTTCCTTAAAACCTAGTATAGTACTATTTTTGTTATAAGTTAATACTATTTTAAAATTTTGATTTTCCATTCCTGATGTAAACATTTTCTTATCATTGTATTTTTGTATAAGAGAGAGAGAGAGAATATGAGTATTTCATCTTATATAAACAAAAATCGTTAAACAAATCTTATTTAAACTTCTTCACCTAGTAATATGTACAAATTATGCGCATAAATAAAGAAATCAAACAGAAAATTAAAGCAAAAATAAGTAAATAAACAAAAAGCAAAAGCTAACGAAATCTGCAAAAAGTAAATTGTTGACTCATGATCATCACGATTTAAAATTTTGGAAATACAACTGACGTCACAAGTCAGCAGACCTAGAAAATAAAGTAAAAATGTATTTCACAAAATAACTAGAGAATTGCGTAAAACTTATATGTATACAATTGCTTTAGGGAAAGAGTAAAAAAAGAAATATAAGAATCGCCACATTATATTTAAAGAAATATTTGTTAAAACGATAATTATGACGAAAAGAAAAGATCAAATGAAAGAAATGGTTAGGTAGGCAAACAAAAAAAAAGTTTAATGAAAGCCAACCAACCAAAAGCTTAATGCAGTATAATATATGTACATTATTTTTTAAATTTAATTACCGTTTGCCTTTGTATTTAGTTCATTTATAAGAAATTTTTATATAAATGTTGTATTTTTTCAGATAAAGTTATCAAAACGATAAAAAATAAAGAACATAAAAATAAACATAGCGACTGTAGAATATAAGCAATTGCTACGTTTTTTAGAACAATCTTGATTAATGTAGAAGAAATTAAAAAAAATTCTTTTTCTTCAATTATAAATAAAATAAATGATCGTTTTTTAAATAATTTTATCCCAAATAATCTTTAGATATTTAAATATTATATTAATATACTTAATCACAATTTTGCAATTGCAAATGATCGATGGTTTCTTGAAATTCTAAATTCTTTTGTCTAATTAAAGCTTTAAGAATGAAGTACTTTTAAACTATTATGAACGATCAAAACCGTTTTAAAAAGTTTTTAATGAATAAACCTTCATTCAAAAGGTTCGTTTCTTAAACTTCTAAAATTACTGTAAATCGTTAAAACGGCATTCAAGTTTATACTTACAGCACCATCAATAACCGCATTTACAACGGGTTGATCTTGCAAGGCATAGGCAGCAGCTTTGGTAAAGATGGACATGAAACCAATCTTAATGCCAAATTTCTTTTGGAAGGCTTCCAAGTGTTCCTTACGGAAGGCCATAGCACCACTAAGAAAATTAAAATATTTAAGTATAAATTGCCAAATAACTTTTGCTATAGAAATGTTGTCAGAGTATCTCAACTGTTCTAGTTCAGTTGGTAGTATCAGTTCTAGTTCAGTTAGTCAGTCTAGTTCAGTTCTAGTTCAGTTCTAGTCAGTTCTAGTTCAGTTCTAGTTCAGTTCTAGTTCAGTTCTAGTTCAGTTCTAGTTCAGTTCTAGTTCAGTTCTAGTTCAGTTCTAGTTCAGTTCTAGTTCAGTTCTAGTTCAGTTCTAGTTCAGTTCTAGTTTGTTCAGTTCTAGTTCAGTTCTAGTTCAGTTCTAGTTCAGTTCTAGTTCAGTTCTAGTTCAGTTCTAGTTCAGTTCTAGTTCAGTTCTAGTTCAGTTCTAGTTCAGTTCTAGTTCAGTTCTAGTTCAGTTCTAGTTCAGTTCTAGTTCAGTTCTAGTTCAGTTCTAGTTCAGTTCTAGTTCAGTTCTAGTTCAGTTCTAGTTCAGTTCTAGTTCAGTTCTAGTTCAGTTCTAGTTCAGTTCTAGTTCAGTTCTAGTTCAGTTCTAGTTCAGTTCTAGTTCAGTTCTAGTTCAGTTCTAGTTCAGTTCTAGTTCAGTTCTAGTTCAGTTCTAGTTCAGTTCTAGTTCAGTTCTAGTTCAGTTCTAGTTCGTTCTAGTTCTAGTTCTAGTTCAGTTCTAGTTCAGTTTCTAGTTCAGTTCTAGTTCAGTTCTAGTTCAGTTCTAGTTCAGTTCTAGTTCAGTTCTAGTTCAGTTCTAGTTCAGTTCTAGTTCAGTTCTAGTTCAGTTCTAGTTCAGTTCTAGTTCAGTTCTAGTTCAGTTCTAGTTTCAGTTTCTAGTTCAGTTCTAGTTCAGTTCTAGTTCAGTTCTAGTTCAGTTCTAGTTCAGTTCTAGTTCAGTTCTAGTTCAGTTCTAGTTCAGTTCTAGTTCAGTTCTAGTTCAGTTCTAGTTCAGTCTAGTTCAGTTCTAGTTCAGTTCTAGTTCAGTTTCTAGTTCAGTTCTAGTTCAGTTCTAGTTCAGTTCTAGTTCAGTTCTAGTTCAGTTCTAGTTCAGTTCTAGTTCAGTTCTAGTTCAGTTCTAGTTCAGTTCTAGTTCAGTTCTAGTTCAGTTCTAGTTCAGTTCTAGTCAGTTCTAGTTCAGTTCTAGTTCAGTTCTAGTTCAGTTCTAGTTCAGTTCTAGTTCAGTTCTAGTTCAGTTCTAGTTCAGTTCTAGTTCAGTTCTAGTTCAGTTCTAGTTCAGTTCTAGTTCAGTTCTAGTTCAGTTCTAGTTCAGTTCTAGTTCAGTTCTAGTTCAGTTCTAGTTCAGTTCTAGTTCAGTTCTAGTTCAGTTCTAGTTCAGTTCTAGTTCAGTTCTAGTTCAGTTCTAGTTCAGTTCGAGTTCCCAAAGAAAGATCAAACTTACCTCATATCAATTTCATTGAATGTGGTCAACATGGCGTTTACATTTTGGGCTTCCTTCAAACGGGCGGCAATCTTTAGACGCATACGGTTCATTTTGACACGTTGTTCGGTACGAGTACCAGTGATTTGACGTGAATAATCGCTTGGTGGTACCTTAACCTGTGGTGGAACTACACCAGGAGCACGTGGAATAGATGCTGATGGAATAGAGGCAGTTGGAGCTGCTGGTGGTGGTGGTGGGGGACGTGGAGCTGCTGGTTTTGGTGGTGGTGGAGCAGCGGCAGCAGCTGGCTTGGCAGCTGGTGGTGGTGGAGGAGCAGCAGCGGCTGGTTTAGCTGCTGGTGGTGGAGGTGGTGTATCGGCTTTGGGAGCGGCAGCTGGGGCAGCACTGGCATCAGCCTTCTCCAATTTGAATAAAGCTTGACCAGCTTTCACGGTATCACCATCGCTGACCAAAATTTCCTTAATAATACCGCCAAAGGGTGCTGGTACACCGACAGTGGTCTTATCGGTTTCGATTTCCATAACAGTTTGATCGACCTTGACATAGTCGCCAACCTTGCAAGTGAATCTGTAAGAAAATAGAGGAAGAAAGAAAAATAATTAATAGTTGAAAGAATATTAAACAAAATCTACCTTTAAAAAGGAATGGTCAAAATTATTGATTTTTCTTAAAAGTTTTTTTCACTTAATTTTTAATTTTAGTTTTCTTTAAACAACTTTTTTTTAAATTTATAAGATTTCTTAATGGAAATTTCTATTTAATCTTATCATTAATTCTTTTATAATCTAGATAACATTACTGTTAAGACCTCCAAGCCTTCTTTCTACTTTATCAATTTTATTATTCAACTGGTGGTAACAATGAATGCTGTAAAGTAGACGTAAATATTTTAGTTTTGGGAATTTTCACACAAAATAACAACACATGTCCAAAAGAAATAACAATATAATAATAGATTTATTATCTATAAGTACTCGAAATCAAATCATAGTGAAAGTGATTTATTTGTAAAACAAATGAATTATTATTTCAAACAACATCATTATAATTTGCTTTTTTGCATAAGCAAATCGTAAACCTTTTAAAAAGCCGGCCGCCGTTTACCCAGACAACTAGTTTAGCTAAGCGCTGCATTAATTAAAAATCTTATGTGTCTGAGCTTTTAAAATGAGTCATTGAAAAAATCACTGTGTATAAATAATTTAGTTACATGTAAATTTTATAAGCGAAAGAAAAAACAGACAACCTTTAAAATTATGTACAATATTTAGGTTCTAGATTTAAGCAAGATTTTTTTAAATAATTTTAATAAATATTTCGCAAATTCATTATTTGAATTTGTATAAAAAAGGCACGTTTTGTTGGGGTAGTATATTATTGTATTACCTTGTAGTAGATACTGTTTATGTTTGTGTTTTTACAAATATTGTAAGTGTCTTAATACGATATCTTACTTTTAAATTGATGTCAGTCTTTTTAATCGAAATGTTTATAAACAAAATTATTTGTTTTAAAAGAGAAGATTGTGTGGTAATTTTTTGTAGAGCTGCTCATTTATTGCTATAGTTTTGAAATAGATTGAATTTATTACACAAGTTTTAAAAATGATCTTCTTAAACTATAAAACTAGAAAACTTTGATCGTTTCATAAGGACTCATAACTTTCTTATTTTAATCTTCTTCCATGTGGACAACTTCGACAGTTTTTTGAATAGTATATTAAATAGTCTATAAACAAGTCAATGAAATGGTCTGTGAACTAGTCTATGAATTAGTCTAGAGTTTAGTCTATGGACAAGTCTATTGATTACTTCGTGTACTAGTTTATTGACTACTTTATGAAGTAGTCTTTGAAATTGTCTTTTAACGACTCCGTGAACTAGTCTATGGACTATTCTTTTGAGTAGTTTATGAACTATTCTATTGACCAGTAAGTGAACTAGTCTATCATCTAGTGGACTATTCTATTGACTAGTTTATAGACTTGTTTATTGAATAGTATATGAACTAATCTATTGTCTATCCTATGAACTTATCCACTATATATTCTATGAACTAGTCTCTAAACTAATCAATGAAATAGTCTATGATCTAATATATTGACTAGTCTATGAAGTAGTCTATTGACTAGTCTATAACCTAGTCTATGGACAAGTGCATGATCCAGTCAATGAACTCTTCTAGTAGCTAGTCTATGAACTATTCCAAAGACTAGTAGTATAATCTATGCAAATAGCTACTGTCAAGTCTATTGAATAGTCCGATTATTCATACGATTTCATACGATTTATTTGCTTTCAATTAAGAACTCGTGAATTGTTTAGATCACACTTTCACATGTTATATTGTTTACAAATTTATAACAATATGTCACGACAATCGGCTAGAAACCAAACAATTGTAGACATTACGTTTGTTAATTTAATAATATTATGATACATAATAAGAAATTTTATAGAATAAGTTGTAATACAAGTTTTACTTTAATTTTATAAATATAAAAAAACGGCTCGTTAATTAAGAGCAATAACTGGAAATATCTGAATAAGTGTAGAAGGCGCAATTGGTGGATACTAATATTACTACTAGAAGTGATAAATATAGTAAAAACACTTTTTCATAGATACATTCTGACATAATTTTTAGTTTTAAATACCCCGTATGGAGTCGTAACAAGCTGTAATCAATATCCATATAATCAACAGTTTAAACTATTTTACAATAAATAATAGTTTGATTATTTTTTTAGAAAAGGCAGACAGAAAACAGTAAAAAAACTAATTTTGAAACTTTCAATCAGTGAATGTAGGTTCATAGCAGAGGAATCTGTATAACTAAGATGAATTTAATTAAATGGGTTCATTTGACTTATGTTTTTAATAGAAATTAAAAGTTTTCATTTGAAAAGACTCTAAACAGAGTTTGTTGTTTTCCGAAGCCGATTATTTTATTAAATAATCTACTTTGTAAAAAAATTTTAATAAAAAACTCGCTGTTAAATTTATTTGATAAACAACCGTTTTATAATGTTGAAATTTAGCTAAAAACCGGGTAGATATTCAGACAAAAAGTACAAAACAAAAGCTGTGTAAAAGCCAATGACCCACTTAGGGGACCTTGACAAAAAAACGCTATACACGTTTCAAATTAAACCAAAATCTAACAAGGGGAAAGGTAGACGCAAATAAAATAATATTAAAGACAAAATTAAATAAAATGAATAAAAAAGTAAATAAAACTTACTTAACATCACCTTCCGATACGGAATCAGCAAAAGGGGGAACTTTAATGGTTTCCAAATTCCACAAACTAACAGAGGTATGGAAACTTTGGCTGGCCATAACGCCCAAAGGTCTAAAAATTAACAAAATTAATAATTAATTTAATTTTAAAGAGAATTTATTAAATTTTCTTATAAAACCCACCTGCTGGCAGTAACTGCAGACTGGGATTCAGCAAAAAGTTGAGCTTGGACTGTAGCTAATCTGGCATATTGACGAACAACATTGGCACTTTTAACCTGAATAAAAAGAACAACAATAAATAAAAATAATTTTGGCAACAACTACATATTTTCTTTAATATAAAAACAAAATTAAAAGATAAACATTTATTTAGCAGCAGACAGAAAAAAAGTGAAAATCAATGATTGCACAACACTTTTAATAAAAAAATTATTTTGCTTTAAACTTTTTAATAAAACACAAATGTTTTAATATTTTTTTTTTCGTTATAGAACATAATATAAGTCACGTGAATCATACATTTGCTTAAGTAAAAACTCTAATACATTCTGGTTTTCCATTCATAAGTTTTTGTTTTAAGAATTTTAACACTTTTCCACATTACATAATCCATGGGATGCTTAAAATTTTCTTTCATTCATTCGTGTCTTTAGCACAATTGCCCCTTTTCAGGTGTGACCCCCCGCGCCACACCCTCTTGCCCTTTACTCTATAATCTTGCATTTCTGTATGGCATTGACTGCTAAATCCAGTCACTTTCATCCATTTATCCCTTCATTTACTTACTTCTTGGCTACGAGCCGCTTGCATACCCAGACTGAGTACATTACGCGGTAAACGTCGCGATGTTATCGATATTATTCCGGACATTTTTTTAAATTATTTGTTTTTGTTTCGTTCGTTTCTCTATTTGTTTTATATTTAAACAATTTAGAAAGGTTTCCAAATTTTCGTTTTAACAAATTCTTTCACTTTTTTTTCACTTTTTCCCACAGGTCGACATGCGACTCAGTGTAGCAGCAGCACCAATGAACGTTTCCGAAAGCGACGTGAGAGTGAAGTTTTAACAAAAAATTTGACATTTTTCTGGGAATTGTCAAAATGACAAGAAAAAAATTTTGACAATGTGGGAGAGCAAATTGTGGAAAATGTCAAAATGTACTAAAAATAATACAAAAGGCTGGTAGGAAATTTCGGCAGGGATGACGACGAAAATACTTAAAATGTGACTATATTTTTACTTATGTTTTTTTATATTTATAGAACCCAAACATTAATTGTAAAATATTTGGTATTTTGTTTTTTATATGAAAGATCTTTCAATACTGTATCATGGATTTTTGAGCTACACATTTTTCATTAATATTGAGAAAATTACATTAAAAGAGATAGAGAATTTCAATTTAAAATATTTTTAATTTTTTAAATTATTAGAAATCCTAATAAAATTAAGAATTTCCATTTTATATTAAGAAAATTTCACTTAAAATTAAGTATTTAAAATTTTCATTCAGCAGATTTTAAATTAATTTATGAATTGTCATTCCAATTGAAATTTAAGTTAAACTTAAATTTCATTTTGAGAAAATTTTTAAAAAATTTAATATTTTTAATTAATTTCAACTGATGGTAGGGTTATTACAAAAACATTTCAATTTTAATAGTTTTCTTATTTCTTCAATTTTATTTGAAATTTTCTGAATTTCAATTAAAATTTTTCCAATTTTTATTTAAATTTTCTCGTTTTTTTGTGAAATTTTCTAAATATTAAATTTTCATATTCTTTTGGAATTTTATCGATTTGAGTTTGAAATTCTCAATTTTACTTGGAATTTTGTAAATTTAATAGAAGTTCTGATATATATATATTTTAAAATCAGTTTGAAATTCTCAATTTATTTTATATTTTTATCAATTTGTAATGTAAAATTCTCAATTTTATTTTGAATTTTTTAAATTTTAAACTAGGTTTACTCTACATTCTATTTTTATATTTTTCTATATTATACATAGAATTTCAAATTTGTCTACCTCCTTTTAATCCACTCCAGAGTCAAACAATTTCTACTCTAGAGTGTAGAACATACAATTTCTACTCTGGAGTTAACATAAACATTTTTATTGTTAACATTACGAATGTTAATAATAAAATAACAAATTTTGTTAAAAGTAAATAAAATAAATTCAATATTTTTTATAAATTAAAATTTTTCATCTCTCAGGAAAATGAATAAATATTTCTGTGCCAATTTCCGCGCTTTTGAAATAAATTTAAACTAAAAAATCAGTCAAATTCCACAAAATTTAATAAGTTTTGATAAACATTTCTTTATTTCTTCTTTAAATTGTAAAAGTTTTACACTTTGACAATTTATTATGAATATTTTCCAATCTGTATTTGGAACAGTTAACATTTTTTTGAAACGTGCAATCTCAATCGGAATTTTATAACTTAAAAAAAAAAAACAGTTTGAACAAGCTTTAATGAAAATATATAATGAAATATGAAAAGAATTTTTAATTAAAATATTAACAAGTAAAGGTTAGTTCATATCTATCAAAAATTTGAAAGAAAGAAGACGTGCTAGTGTGAAAAAGTCAGAGAAGTAATTAAATACAAAATTTTTATTTTTAATGGCCACGTTATTTTCGTAAAATATTTGATATGTGCCTTAAAGGTGTTAAAATCATAGATTTATTCTAAATTATTGCCTCGTATATAAATAGTTGTGTGAACGTTATTTTTATAGAATTTAAGTGAATAATTTTTGTCAAATTTTAACATAATACAAAATTTTTTGAATGATTTATTGAGTCAATATTGATTTTCTTTAAAATGGGTTATCAAATGGTAAGGTAAATTAAAAACAGACTTTATAGAATTCTGAAATTTGTTTGCTATAAAAATTGTCTGCTTCGAAGTTATGCCAGTTATGAGCGTTAAAGTCATTTTTTAAGAAATTTTAAATTTGTTTCCTATAAAACTTGTCTGTGTTGAATTGCCAGTTAAGGGCATGAAATTGGACGGACAAATTTCAGATCCAGAACTTGACCGATATTGTCATTTTCAATATCAAACAAGCTGCATCAACACCGTTCGGACACTATAGTGATTTCATCAGATATTACATTAGAATTTGATTAATCTCTATATTTAAAAAAAATCGATAAAGTTACGAACAAACGTTATTATTTTATTAATATGACAGAAAATTAAGACTTTACGAATGTCCAAGAATTTGTAATAATTAAAATTAAATATTTTTCATATTTCATTCAAATCGAATAAGAATTATAAATTTTGCTCAGAAAAACTAATTAAAGTAGAAAATTTCTACATTTTACGTTTACCAACACTAGAAATTAGTTTTTGTTCATGACATTTCATGTTTTGATTTGTACTAAATATGTTCAAACAGCTGTTTTTGACATTTAAATTAAAGCGCCCAAAACATTACGAAACGTGAGTGTTTTTACTAGTGGAAGAAAACTTTTCGAAGAAAATGTTATTTTTCTAAATATTTAAAGAAGTAAACAAAAATAAATGTTAATAAATTTTATATAAAACAATAAAAGAACACAAAATTATGTCGGTTCAATACCAAAGATTCTTAAAAGTACTCGAAAAGTGGCCAGCAGAAAAATCAAAAGTCGGCAGGTAAACAAACTTATTACTTTGGAAATTTTTTCCAATCATAGACCATTAACCACTGCATACTGTTATCTCCTACTTACCATTACAAGTTTCATTACATTGCACTTAACACTTCGCTTTTATTTAACTGAAAATTTATCTATCATGTTACTAATCGGTAATTTGAGCTGGGTTATTGAGATTGAGGCTTTGATTTAGTTTTCCATTTGAAATCATGGGAATTTGTTGTTGTTCTAGTCTAGAGGGGTCTGGAGGGGGTGTAAAGTAGATAAAAAATATATTCAACTGTACATATCTAATAGTTTTAAACAAATAAATACATATGTATGTATGACATTTATCCATCGTTGATTTAGTTGCTGTTGGTATTTGCTGTGCTTCAGTTCAGTTGTCTTTTTAAGAAAATTAAAACTTAGTTGGTGTTTTAAAAGTTGTTGTAAATTAGTAGTGTTTTTTGTGTTGTATTGTGGTTTTTTCAATTGTTTGTTAATACTTTGTGTGATTGTGCAACAAAATAAACAAAACCATGTCTTCCAAATATGCCTATCAACTTATTGATGAAGAGTACCTTTTTGGTACTGGACAAGAGTAAGTTTCTTTAAATGTCTAAAATAATGTCTTATTTAGGGAAATACTTATCACTCCAACCGTTAGAAAATGTCAAAGAAATTGTATTTACAATTTTATAGGTATTTTTAAAAAACTTTACTTAACTTTATATTCTGAAGGTGTTTTTTTAAACACGTGGTTGTTATGATTTGTTTTTTAATTTTAATAAGGTTAAAATTGTCTAGCGTAATGTTAAAATTTAATAATTAAATTCAACTAAGTAAATATAAACGCTTTTAAAAAAGGTTTTTAGTTTGCTTAATTATTAGCTGTGTTCATGTACTTGTCGAGTTTTGGAAAAATTATCAAATTAACCAATAATTAGGAATAATTTCACGGTTAAAACTATTTTGTATGAAATTTGTCTATACATCCACTGACAATTTTCAAAACTCTATCAAAGATAAAGAATATTGATTGTACTTAAATAGGTCCTCATTATTTTAAAAACAAACTACATAAACATATTAGACGAATTAGCGAAAACTATTATTTCTGAGAAAAAAGCGGGTGAAGGCTTATCGTCACATTGTTTCAAAAGTTATTAAACAGATCGGGAAGGAAAAAGGTCTAACCGGTATTGTTAAGGCAGAAGAAGTCTAACAAATCTTTCGAAGAGCACCGAACACTTCTATCAGAAAAGCAGCTGTTAAAGTTAAATGATCTGATTCTTTTGTGTCCTGAACCAAAGCTAATGCTGTGTTGAAGACATACATATAAAGTTCAGAAAGTTCCAGATCAATTCTGTAAAGAACTTAAAAGAAAAAAAATCGAATGACAATTTTATAAAAAATAAATTGCATCAACTGAAAGTTTTTTCATAAGCCTACGGCCGTACTTTTACAACAACAACAACTTACAAATTTGAGTTTTTAGTAAAATCCATTTAAAATATTCAAATCCAGCTCTGGTATGTCATTTTTGTTTAGTTTTTATTAACACATCAACTAAAATTATTAAAAACAACCCATCCAACATTTAACTATTTTAACTATTTTTATTTAAAACCATAATCTTTATTTAAATCGTACATAATACAAACTCACATTTGCATTTTTCATAATCAAAACAAGAGTAATTTCCAATAGAACCTAAATATAATTAAATATATAACTCTCATCAATAGGGATCTTGGTGAGCAAATACGTAAACATATAAAAAATTTAACAAATCCAGCAAATTTAACACAAGAAGCCACCGATAAAATCACCAAACAAATAGATTCACTTGAAAGGTTGGCCAACAACACGTACGGACGTAAATATACACGTATTTACAGTTCCACAGCTACTGGACTAACTGCCCAACAGTGTAATCAAGTGTTATCCTCGGAATTTTTACAATATTTAAACGAGGATAAAAAGAAAAATTAAATTACCAAACTCTTTTCAAATTTACTTTAATAACTAACAAAATGTGGCGTAAACAATTAATAAAATCTTATTGTACCATGGGAGGTTCACAACAGGCCACTAATACAGCAGCAAAACCTCCACACATACCGGTATTGTGCCAAGAAGCCATTAACTATTTAAAACCTTTAGCACAGCAAACCTTTATTGATATGACATTTGGTGCAGGCGGCCATACTAGTCAACTCTTGGAACAACATCAAGATATTAAAGTATTTGCCTTAGATCGTGATCCGGTAGCTTATGAATTGGCCAAAAATATGAGCTCTAAATATCAGGGAAGATTAATACCTTTATTGGGTAAATTCTCTGATTTACCACGCCTACTCAAAGATCATCAAGTGGGACGTCATAGTATAGATGGTATACTCTTTGATTTTGGCTGTTCCTCTATGCAATTTGATGAAGCTGACAGAGGTTTTTCCATATCGAAAAATGGTCCCTTAGATATGCGCATGGATCGTGGTTTAAGCAAAAATACCGAACAAATAACAGCGGCGGATGTTTTAGCTCGTGCAGAGGAAGTAGATCTGGTGAAAATTTTAAGAGTTTATGGTGAAGAAAAGGCAGCCAAAAAAATTGCTCGAGCTATAGTGGAGGCACGTGCTGCTTTCTATAAAATAGAAACTACCAAACAATTAGCTGACCTGGTGGCTTCTTGTTTAAGTGATACACCCTTTAGAATGGATAAAATGCAACGTCCCACCCATGTGGCCACTAAAACTTTTCAAGCTTTACGTATTTTTGTTAATAACGAATTAAACGAAATCAATTATGGTATGATATTGGCCAATGAATACCTGAAACCGGAAGGACGTTTAGTAGCCATTACTTTCCACTCTTTAGAAGATACCATAGTTAAACGTCACCTCAATGGCAATGTCATAGAAGGTTTAGCCAATCCGGTACCTTTGAAATATTGTGGTCATGATGTTACTCACGATAAGGAACTGGTGGAATCATTTGTATGTAGTAAATGGAAACAATTGCATAAACATGTCATTGTCCCCGAGGATGAGGAAATAATGCGCAACAGTCGTAGTCGTTCGGCAAAATTAAGAGCTGCCATTAAATTGAAATAGTGATCAGAGAAAAGAGTAAAATGTTTGGTTTGGGATTTTTACTTTATTATTTAAAGTTTTTGTTGTAGTTTTAAGTTACATTTTGTTTAGATTTAAATAAAGAAAAATGTGTAAATGATGAGAATAAAATAAAGCACTGAAGTCGTTTAAAGAAGTTTAATATAATATAGTTTATTTTATATATTAAGGTTCAATTGTAAACTATTAAGGATATTTAATTTAGAAATTTAGAAATTTATAATTGGTTCTTTTTAGAAAAATGTTCATTCCAAATGGTCATTAAACATCTTTATTTTACAACAATAAAGAAAGAATCAAGTCACCCCATAAATCAAAAAAACATACCTGGTTTCCTTTTAATCTTTTAGGAAACTTATCTCTTTTTAAATACATTTTAAAATATCCATTTGGAATTACTTTTTTTTCATTGCTGTTAAATAACATTTAAAAAATTCATGGCTGAATATAAGCAGCTTTTCCCTTGCGTTATTAGACCACAGTGATATAAGCTTTTAACTCTGTTAAAAACATTAGAAACGTTATCACTTTAATAAACTTTTTACTTACTCTGTTAAATGGAAAACAATTTAAATTAGATAAACTTTTATATTATGTTAAATTAACTAAACATTACAAAGTTTTTAAACCATTTATAAATGCACTTAAAGCACATTAATTTTTTTACAAAATAAGCTTTTTGTGCGAACTCCCGCCAAATATTATTTGTCAGCTGACTTCAATAACTATAAACAAGTTTTTTTTCAAAGAAATTTAGTCATTAATTTCATGCATATATTTTTCTTAATTTTTGTTAAAAATAATTTAGTCTTTAAGTGCACAAAAAGGTATTTGTTAACAATTTTAGTAGTAAAAATATTTAAAGTGCAAAAGAAATAATTTTTTATTAAAAAAATAGTAATTCCCAGCAAAAAATATTTGATGTCATACTTTACAAGCCACATCTTAATCACATCTTAAAATGCGATTTCATATTTTTCACTTTTATAAACCAAATATTTCCTTACAAATGAAACCCCAGTTAAAAGTGAGGAAAGAGATGTGGAAAAGTCATTACAAATAACATATTTGAAGTACATCATGATTTGGTGAAAGAGTAGCGAAATTTACATAAGCGTGTCATTAAGAGAATGTGTTTTATTTTTGACATCCAAATATCGGATTTTTACTGCTTCTAAAAATAAGATCAGATGTAGTTCAAAGCTGTCAAAATGAACAACATCCCTCCAATGACACGCTAATGTAAAATTCATAGGTTTTACACCCGAATTTGAAGCACTTCGGGTTACTAGTTGTGATGAAAATTCTACATCTTTTTCCACACTTTTTTTGCTGGGTTATTTCTAAAGGAATTTAGAGAACGGAAATGTATCCAGAATTTTAATATTTCAGCTTATAATTATAATAAGAAATCTATTAAACGATCAACAGAAATGTGTAATCCGCACTTAATTCCATCCGAAATGGTGTCAAATCGGTCGGTTCAAGTTTAGTTCTAGTTCAGTTCTAGTTCAGTTCTAGTTCAGTTCTAGTTCAGTTTTAGTTCAGTTCTAGTTCAGTTCTAGTTCAGTTCTAGTTCAGTTCTAGTTCAGTTCTAGTTCAGTTCTAGTTCAGTTCTAGTTCATTTCAGTTCTAGTTCATTTCAGTTCTAGTTCAGTTCTAGTTCAGTTCTAGTTCAGTTCTAGTTCATTTCAGTTCTAGTTCAGTTCTAGTTCAGTTCTAGTTCAGTTCTAGTTCAGTTCTAGTCCAGTTCTAGTTCAGTTCTAGTTCAGTTCTAGTTCAGTTCTAGTTCAGTTCTAGTTCAGTTCTAGTTCTAGTTCAGTTCTAGTTCAGTTCTAGTTCAGTTCTAGTTCAGTTCTAGTTCAGTTCTAGTTCTAGTTCAGTTCTAGTTCAGTTCTAGTTCAGTTCTAGTTCAGTTCTAGTTCAGTTCTAGTTCAGTTCTAGTTCAGTTCTAGTTCAGTTCTAGTTCAGTTCTAGTTCAGTTCTAGTTCAGTTCTAGTTCAGTTCTAGTTCAGTTCTAGTTCAGTTCTAGTTCAGTTCTAGTTCAGTTCTAGTTCAGTTCTAGTTCTAGTTCAGTTCTAGTTCTAGTTCAGTTCTAGTTCAGTTCTAGTTCAGTTCTAGTTCAGTTCTAGTTCAGTTCTAGTTCAGTTCTAGTTCAGTTCTAGTTCAGTTCTAGTTCAGTTCTAGTTCTAGTTCAGTTCTAGTTCAGTTCTAGTTCAGTTCTAGTTCAGTTCTAGTTCAGTTCTAGTTCAGTTCTAGTTCAGTTCTAGTTCAGTTCTAGTTCAGTTCTAGTTCAGTTCTAGTTCTAGTTCAGTTCTAGTTCAGTTCTAGTTCTAGTTCAGTTCTAGTTCTAGTTCAGCTCTAGTTCAGTTCTAGTTCAGTTCTAGTTCAGTTCTAGTTCAGTTCTAGTTCAGTTCTAGTTCAGTTCTAGTTCAGTTCTAGTTCAGTTCTAGTTCAGTTCTAGTTCAGTTCTAGTTCAGTTCTAGTTCAGTTCTAGTTCAGTTCTAGTTCAGTTCTAGTTCAGTTCTAGTTCAGTTCTAGTTCAGTTCTAGTTCAGTTCTAGTTCAGTTCTAGTTCAGTTCTAGTTCAGTTCTCTAGTTCAGTTCTAGTTCAGTTCTAGTTCAGTTCTAGTTCAGTTCTAGTTCAGTTCTAGTTCAGTTCTAGTTCAGTTCTAGTTCAGTTCTAGTTCAGTTCTAGTTCAGTTCTAGTTCAGTTCTAGTTCAGTTCTAGTTCAGTTCTAGTTCAGTTCTAGTTCAGTTTCTAGTTCAGTTCTAGTTCAGTTCTAGTTCAGTTCTAGTCCAGTCTAGTTCAGTTCTAGTTCAGTTCTAGTTTCAGTTCTAGTTCAGTTCTAGTTCAGTTCTAGTTCAGTTCTAGTTCAGTTCTAGTTCAGTTCTAGTTCAGTTTTAGTTCAGTTTCTAGTTTCAGTTCTAGTTCAGTTCTAGTTCAGTTCTAGTTCAGTTCTAGTTCAGTTTCTAGTTCAGTTCTAGTTCAGTTCTTAGTTCAGTTCTAGTTCAGTTCTAGTTCAGTTCTCTAGTAGTTCAGTCTAGTTCAGTTCTAGTTCAGTTCTAGTTCAGTTCTAGTTCAGGTCTAGTTCTAGTTTCAGTTCTAGTTCAGTTCTAGTTCAGTTCTAGTTCAGTTCTAGTTCAGTTCTAGTTCAGTTCTAGTTCAGTTCAGTAGTTCAGTTCTAGTTCAGTTCTAGTTCAGTTCTAGTTCAGTTCTAGTTCAGTTCTAGTTCAGTTCTAGTTCAGTTCTAGTTCAGTTCTAGTCAGTTCAGTTCAGTTCTAGTTCTTTCAGTTCTAGTTCAGTTCTAGTTCAGTTCTAGTTCAGTTCTAGTTCAGTTCTAGTTCAGTTCTAGTTCAGTTCTAGTTCAGTTCTAGTTCAGTTCTAGTTCAGTCTAGTTCAGTTCTAGTTCAGTTCTAGTTCAGTTCTAGTTCAGTTCTAGTTCAGTTCTAGTTCAGTTCTAGTTCAGTTCTAGTTCAGTTCTAGTTCAGTTCTAGTTCAGTTCTAGTTCAGTTCTAGTTCAGTTCTAGTTCAGTTCTAGTTTCAGTTCTAGTTCAGTTCTAGTTCAGTTCTAGTTCAGTTCTAGTTCAGTTCTAGTTCAGTTCTAGTTCAGTTCTAGTTCAGTTCTAGTTCAGTTCTAGTTCAGTTCTAGTTCAGTTCTAGTCAGTTCTAGTTCAGTTCTAGTTCAGTTCTAGTTCAGTTCTAGTTCAGTTCTAGTCAGCTCTAGTTCAGTTCTAGTCGTAGTTCCCATGGGACTACTTTTACCCAAGCAGCATGCACGCTGTACTGCCTGTAGTAGTTTGCGCACTAGGTTTATATATACACACGGGTGGACATTAGGGTGATCGATTATTCGACATTTTCCAAAAACCTGTTTTCGAATAGTTCGAATAGTTGACATTTCAAAAAAACCGGTTGATATTTTTCAAATTCAGAAAAAACCGGTTAACCGGTTTTCATTATAAATAAAAAAATATATTATAATTTGAAAAAATAATGTTTATGTTTAAATTTGATTGATAAAACATGGCCCGAAATAATTTTTAACAGTTTAACAGATTATAACTTTAGATCTAGTCGTCTGATTTACATTATTTCTTTAATATAAAAAATTAGGAAAATGGTGGGACACTTCTGTTAAACATAAGGTACTGTGTAATCCTAGCTTATTCTGCCCTATTTAGGAAATTTTTATAGGCATTCCAACCAACACTTCCATAATATTTCAGCCATAAATTAATTATTGTAATTGGAATATAATCTTAAGATTGATAAAGTTTTATCAAACAGTTATCAATTTTACAAATAAATTTTTTAATTAATTAGGAAAATCAAAAAAGTTTAACCAAAGGTGCTTTAGAAAAGTATACCCTAGTTCCTCGACTCGAATATTTTTAAAATTTAGACGGGCTGTATTCTTATTTACTTCAAAATTTCATTTAAATAATATTTGAATACAAAGCAAATGAAAGTATTCGAAACCGGTTTTTAAAAAGTGAAAAAACCGGGTTATTCGATATTCGAAAAATCAACATTTAGAAAAAACCGACACTGGTGAAGCAGAAAAAACCGGTTTTAAAACCGGTTGAAAAATCGAGTCGATCACCCTAGTGGACATAGCTTAATTGACTCCTATAGTGATTCTGAGCATATTGTAGGACCAATATACCCTCTCCACTATAAAAGAAGACCTAACTCTAGCACTTTTCCTAACTCAATGAGATCGAAACAATCAGGTCCAAGATTTGAATTTGTCTGCATAAAAGTAGGTGCATATAATACATATGTAGATCGCAAAAATTATTATTAGACCCCAATGTGCACCTACTAATAATATCAAAATAGTATGTAGTATGCTATAAACTATTTACTTTTAACCGTTAATGTTAATAATAAAATATGTAAATATTTATGTAGCCAATTTTCATTATCAAGTTTGTTTTGGTTAAAACATTTGTTTTTATGTAGACCTTTTTTACCTCTACATTAAACTATTAATAATAGATTTAATTTAATCTAAAAAACGTCTTCCTTATCAGTCAAATGACGAATAATGAAAAAAAGAAAACAACAATTTGTTGCCAATATGAATAATTGTACAATTTTGATATTTTTCCAAACCTAAATGACCCTTAAACAAAAACAAAAAATAAAATGATAATCTTTTATGAAAAATTGATACCGTACACAAGCCCCAAAACAAAACTGGGGCTCGTAGAAAAAGTGTAAAAACGAATTTATTTAATCTTCAATTGCATTTGGTGGGTAACGGTTCGAGTGATATTTGTAGATTTAAAAAAAAATTGAAATATTGATACAAATTTTATTTTAATAAAACAAAATTTAATTTAATTTTGTGTGTATTTTTTCAAAAATAGTGTTGTTGATTTTACTCCAACTGCCGAAAATATGTCTGAAGCCAAATTAATTTCGGGTACACAAGTGGCCAAGTGAGTTATCAAATCAGACAGAAATTTAAAAAAAGTGTTCAATGGAAAATTTTTTAAAATTATTTTATTTTTTTTAAACACTAGTGAAATACGTGAATCTTTGAAACAACAGGTGTTAGAATTGAAAAATAAATTACCAAATTTTGCTCCCGGTTTACGTATTGTCCAAGTCGGCGGTCGCGAGGATTCCAATGTTTATATTCGCATGAAAATTAAGGCTGCCAATGAAATAGGCATTGCTGTCGAACATGTTAAATTGCCAAGTACTACAACAGAATTGGAATTGTTAGATAAGGTAAGTAGAAAGTAGTAGTGAATTACATAAGTTTTAGTTGGTATGTTTAGAAATAAACATACAAATTTAAATAGTCTTTGAGAGAAAATTTAATAGGAAAATAATAGAAGTTTATGCAAAATTTAAGGCGTAAAAGAGAATTTGTTTAATTTTAGACGAACAACTTCATATAACTTTCAGGAGAAGTGATGTGATGGATCGGTCCAGATGGAACTTAGTAGAGAGTTTAATGTAGTTTGAATTTTTCTAATATTAATAGAAGATTTATGAATATCAATATGATTTACCGAAGAAAATCAAAAAATCAGTTCTAGTTCAGTTCTAGTTCAGTTCTAGTTCAGTTCCAGTTCAGTTCTAGTTCAGTTCTAGTTCAGTTCTAGTTCAGTTCTAGTTCAGTTCTAGTTCTGTTCGAGTTCAGTTCTAGTTCAGTTCTAGTTTAGTTCTAGTTCAGTTCTAGTTCAGTTCTAGTTCAGTTCTAGTTCAGTTCTAGTTCAGTTCTAGTTCAGTTCTAGGTCAGTTCTAGGTCAGTTCTAGTTCAGTTCTGGTTCAGTTCTGGTTCAGTTCTAGTTCAGTTCTAGTTCAGTTCTAGTTCAGTTCTAGTTCAGTTCTAGTTCAGTTCTAGTTCAGTTTTAGTTCAGTTTTAGTTCAGTTCTAGTTCTAGTTCAGTTCTAGTTCAGTTCTAGTTCAGTTCTAGTTCAGTTCTAGTTCAGTTCTAGTTCAGTTCTAGTTTAGTTCTAGTTCAGTTCTAGTTCAGTTCTAGTTCAGTTCTAGTTCAGTTCTAGTTCAGTTCAGTTCTAGTTCAGTTCTAGTTCAGTTCTAGTTCAGTTCTAGTTCAGTTCTAGTTCAGTTCTAGTTCAGTTCTAGTTCAGTTCTAGTTCAGTTCTAGGTCAGTTCTAGTTCAGTTCTGGTTCAGTTCTGGTTCAGTTCTAGTTCAGTTCTAGTTCAGTTCTAGTTCAGTTCTAGTTCAGTTCTAGTTCAGTTCTAGTTCAGTTCTAGTTCAGTTTTAGTTCAGTTTTAGTTCAGTTCTAGTTCTAGTTCAGTTCTAGTTCAGTTCTAGTTCTAGTTCAGTTCTAGTTCAGTTCTAGTTCAGTTCTAGTTCAGTTCTAGTTCAGTTCTAGTTCAGTTCTAGTTCAGTTCTAGTTCAGTTCTAGTTCAGTTCTAGTTCAGTTCTAGTTATCGATCTATTTATCATAAAAAATCTTTACAACAGTTTAATTTGAATATATACTTGAAAATATAAGATAGATTATGGTGAAGCATAAATTCTAATTAGCAAGGGATTAAAATAAATTAGGAAATATATTATAAAATTAACCAAAAGTAGGCGCCATACTCTCTGCTCATGTACTATTGTTTAAAGTAAAGTGTTGTAGAAAAATATGTTCACTAAATACGTAATAATGTTTTCCTTCTGTTTAGATAATGAATAAAGAATTTCTAGATTATTCTGGATAAGACCAATTACATATATGAAGGTGAAGGTTAAAACTTTTTGAAGTGCATACACAAGTATAACTATTAAAATAGTTAATCGATAATTCGTTCGATTATTCTAGGTGTTTAGACAAAAATTTGTATAAGGTGAATGTTAAAGTTTTAAAGTGAAATTAGAACAGAAATTCAAAATCAAACAAATTACTGATTTTGTCTTGCTGAATATTTAAAGTGTTTTCTTAATTTTTCTACTTCCTCCTTAGATCAATTTCCTCAACAATGATCCCAATGTTCACGGTATCATTGTACAAATGCCTTTGGATTGTGAGAATAAAATCGATTCCCACAAAGTTACCGATGCCGTTTGTCCCGAAAAAGATGTCGATGGTTTGCACACCATGAACGAGGGACGCGTTTCGATTGGTGATTTAAGCGGTTTTATGCCCTGTACTCCTTGGGGTTGTATTGAATTGATCAAACGTTCGGGTATACAAATTGCTGGTGCTAATGCTGTCGTTTTGGGACGTAGTAAAATTGTGGGTACACCAGCTGCTGAGCTTTTGAAATGGCATCATGCTACCGTCACAGTTTGTCATTCAAAGACCAAGAATATTGAGGATATTGTAAGTAGTGGTTTTGTGGAAAAAATGGATTAGTTGTACTTTATAAGATTTTCTTCGGGTTTGGATTTTAGTGCCGTACTGCTGATATTTTAGTTGTCGGTATTGGTGTACCAGAAATGGTTAAGGGATCTTGGATTAAACCTGGTGCTGTGGTAATCGATTGTGGTATCAATGTAAAGCCAGGTAAGAAATAATTGATTATTGAAAGTTTTTGTTAACAATTATACTACTGCGTAACAGTTCTAGTTTATTTCAAGTAAATTCTAGTTCAGTTCTAGTTTAGTTCTAGATCAGTTCTAGTTCAGTTATAGTTCAGTTCTAGTCCAGCTCTAGTTCAGTTCTAGTTCAGTTCCAGTCCAGTTCTCGTTCCATTCTAGTTTAGTTCTAGTTCAGTTCTAGTTCAGGACTAGTTCAGTTCTAGTCCAGTTATAGTTCAGTTCTAGTTCAGTTCTAATTCAGTTCTAGTTCAGTTCTAGTATAGTTCTAATTCAGTTCTAGTTCAGTTCTAGTTCAGTTCTAGTTCAGTTCTAGTTCAGTTCTAGTTCAGTTCTAGTTCAGTTCTAGTTCAGTTCTAGTTCAGTTCTAGTTCAGTTCTAGTTCAGTTCTAGTTCAGTTCTAGTTCAGTTCTAATTCAGTTCTAGTTCAGTTCTAGTTCAGTTCTAGTTCAGTTCTAGTTCAGTTCTAATTCAGTTCTAGTTCAGTTCTAGTTCAGTTCTAGTTCAGTTCTAGTTCAGTTCTAGTTCAGTTCTAGTTCAGTTCTAGTTCAGTTCTAGTTCAGTTCTAGTTCAGTTCTAGTTCAGTTCTAGTTCAGTTCTAGTTCAGTTCTAGTTCAGTTCTAGTTCAGTTCTAGTTCAGTTCTAGTTCAGTTCTAGTTCAGTTCTAGTTCTAGTTCAGTTCTAGTTCAGTTCTAGTTCAGTTCTAGTTCAGTTCTAGTTCAGTTCTAGTTCAGTTCTAGTTCAGTTCTAGTTCAGTTCTAGTTCAGTTCTAGTTCAGTTCTAGTTCAGTTCTAGTTCAGTTCTAGTTCAGTTCTAGTTCAGTTCTAGTTCAGTTCTAGTTCAGTTCTAGTTCAGTTCTAGTTCAGTTCTAGTTCAGTTCTAGTTCAGTTCTAGTTCAGTTCTAGTTCAGTTCTAGTTCAGTTCTAGTTCAGTTCTAGTTCAGTTCTAGTTCAGTTCTAGTTCAGTTCTAGTTCAGTTCTAGTTCAGTTCTAGTTCAGTTCTAGTTCAGTTCTAGTTCAGTTCTAGTTCAGTTCTAGTTCAGTTCTAGTTCAGTTCTAGTTCAGTTCTAGTTCAGTTCTAGTTCAGTTCTAGTTCAGTTCTAGTTCAGTTCTAGTTCAGTTCTAGTTCAGTTCTAGTTCAGTTCTAGTTCAGTTCTAGTTCAGTTCTAGTTCAGTTCTAGTTCAGTTCTAGTTCAGTTCTAGTTCAGTTCTAGTTCAGTTCTAGTTCAGTTCTAGTTCAGTTCTAGTTCAGTTCTAGTTCAGTTCTAGTTCAGTTAGTACAGTTCTAGTTCAGTTCTAGTTCAGTTCTAGTTCAGTTCTAGTTCAGTTCTAGTTCAGTTCTAGTTCAGTTCTAGTTCAGTTCTAGTTCAGTTCTAGTTCAGTTCTAGTTCAGTTCTAGTTCAGTTCTAGTTCAGTTCTAGTTCAGTTCTAGTTCAGTTCTAGTTCAGTTCTAGTTCAGTTCTAGTTCAGTTCTAGTTCAGTTCTAGTTCAGTTCTAGTTCAGTTCTAGTTCAGTTTTAGTTCAGTTCTAGTTCAGTTCTAGTACAGTTCTAGTTCAGTTCTAGTTCAGTTCTAGTTCAGTTCTAGTTCAGTTCCAGTTCAGTTGTTATAGTTTAGTCCTAGTACAGTTATAATATAGTTCTTGTTCTCTAAATTACGTAAGAGAGCAGCTAGTGAAATCTATTTTAAAAACATATTTTAGTTTTTTAATTCATATAATAATTTTTTGTTTGTATTCTTATCAGTTTGTTTTTTATTTTGGCCCCACTGATAGAGAAGGTCATTTGTAAATTAAAAAATGTATATACATATTCCATACTCAATAATTTATGTTTAGATTTCACAGCGTAAATATTTCAGAATTGTTGATAATATTATTCTCTCACTGTCTCTTTAAGATCCTACCAAAAAAAGCGGCACTTGTTTGGTGGGTGATGTTGATTTTAAAGAAGCTAAATTAGTAGCTTCTGCTATAACTCCTGTACCTGGTGGTGTTGGTCCCATGACCGTAGCCATGTTAATGCAAAATACTGTACGTTCAGCTTTTACAGCAGCTGAGAAATTATTGAGAAAGACATGGGATTTGTCACCATTGACATTGAGACCCGCTAGACCAGTACCCAGGTTTGTAATTTGTACTTATTTTCGAAACATTTTCTTTGGTATTTAAAATTTATTTTTTTTTGGTTTTCAGTGATATTGTTGTAGCTCGTTCTCAGACACCCAAGAATATTTCATTATTGGCCAAGGAAATCGGTTTAATCGGTAATGAAGTGTCTTTGTATGGCAATAAAAAGGCTAAGATTGCTTTAAGTGTTTTGAAACGTTTGGAGTCAAGAGGTGAAGGTTCATATGTTGTGGTAGCGGGGTAAGTTGATCATATTTATCAAATATCTGTTAAGAAATTAAAAGAAACCGGTTTTAAATCAAAGATATTCTTTATTAGTTATTCGGACTTAAAACATTTTCACGCTAATCTAACGATATCTTAAACGTTTTAAAAACACAATAATTCATTATCAATTCTTGATCCTCTAATCTAAATACTATCTATGAGTGGGAACTATAATCACACACTTTAAGGTCAAACATTTCATAATTAAAAAGTAAATAACAATTTAATTTTTTTAACAATTAATTTTTAGCATCACACCCACTCCCCTCGGCGAGGGTAAAAGTACCACCCTTATTGGTTTAGTACAAGCTCTCTGCGCCCATAAAAAACGTAATGCTATCGCCTGTATGCGTCAACCCTCACAAGGTCCCACTTTTGGTATTAAGGGTGGTGCCGCCGGTGGTGGTTATGCCCAAGTTATACCCATGGAAGAATTTAATCTACATCTTACTGGTGATATTCATGCTGTCACTGCTGCCAATAACTTAGTGGCTGCTCAATTGGATACACGTATTTTCCATGAAAATACCCAAAAAGATCAGGCACTCTACGATCGTTTAGTGCCTCGCATTAAGGGTGAAAGAAAATTTTCGAAAATCCAATTGAGACGTTTGCAACGTTTGGGTATTCACAAGACAGATCCTGATAGCTTAACTGATGAGGAAAAGGGTAAATTTGCCCGTTTAGATATTGATCCTGATACCATTATGTGGGAACGTGTTGTTGATATGAACGATAGATATTTGAGACAAGTAACTATTGGTCAATCTGGCACCGAAAAAGGTTTCACACGTACCACTTCCTACTCCATCTCGGTGGCTAGTGAAATTATGGCAGTTTTAGCTTTGGCCAAGAATATGGAAGACATGAAGGATAGATTATCGAAAATGGTTGTGGCTTTTGACCGTAAAGGTGACCCCGTAACAGCTGATGATTTGGGTTGTACCGGCGCTTTAACTGTTTTACTTAAGGATGCTTTAGAACCCAATCTAATGCAAACTTTGGAGGGTACCCCCGTTATGGTACATGCTGGCCCATTTGCCAATATTGCTCATGGCTGCTCTTCGAATGTGGCCGATGAGATTGCCCTGAAATTGGTGGGTGAGGAAGGTTTCGTGTGCACTGAAGCCGGTTTTGGTTCTGATATTGGTATGGAAAAATTCTGCAATATTAAATGCCGTTCTATGGGTCGCAGTCCAAATGCTGTTGTTTTGGTAGCCACCGTTAGAGCTTTGAAAATGCATGGTGGTGGTGCTCCTGTTACAGCTGGTGCTCCTCTGAATAAACAATATACCGAAGAGAATTTGGAATTGTTGGAGAAAGGTTTACCCAATTTATTGCAACACATTTCGAATGGTCGTACTTTCGGTTTGCCCGTCGTTGTGGCTATTAATCGTCATAGGTAAGTGGATTTTAATAAGTTATATATATTTTCATTGAGTTCAATCAATTACTAATGTTATGAGCTGAATTTTACCTTTTGGTTCGACTATTAACCGTTATCATCAATATTAGGACAAACATATTCCACAATTCCACCAAAAGTTAACTAGATTTACTCTATTAATGATCTAAATAGTTTAGACACTAAGGATAATTTTTTTTAACAATTTGATCAGATAATACAAATGTTTTTAGGGAGAAAAGATACGTAATTTGTTTAGGATCTTAAATTTAATGGAAGAAATTTTGAAAACTGCTAGTGCTTGAAACGATTAAGTTTCAAACTTTTTAGATAAGAAGATATGTAATATTTGACGATATAAAACTTGTACTTCCTTCCTAGTCTTAAATGCTTAATAAAGTTGTTGATGGTTTGTTGTAGGAATTTTGTATGGAAAATGGGAGTAATAAACCTAAACTAAACTATTAATATTTAGTCAGTTCTGGTTCAATTCTAATTAAGTTCCGGTGCAGTTCTGTTCTCAATTTCAAGTTCTGTTGAAGTTCAGTTCTAGTTTAGTTCTAGTTAAGTACTTGTTCAGTTCTAGTTTCAGTTCTAGTTCATTTCTAGTTCAGTTCTAGTTCAGTTCTAGTCCAGTTCTAATTCAGTTCTAGTTCAGTTCTAGTCCAGTTCTAGTTTAGTTCTAGTTAAGTACTTGTTCAGTTCTAGTTCATTTCTAGTTCAGTTCTAGTTCAGTTCTTGCTCAGTTCTAGTTCAGTTCTAGTTCAGTTCTATTTCAGTTCTATTTCAGTTCTATTTCAGTTCTAGTTCAGTTCTAGTTCAGTTCTAGTTCAGTTCTAGTTCAGTTCTAGTTCAGTTCTAGTTCAGTTCTAGTTCAGTTCTAGTTCAGTTCTAGTTCAGTTCCAGTTCAGTTTTAGTTCAGTTTTAGTTCAGTTTTAGTTCAGTTCAGTTCTAGTTCAGTTCTAGTTCAGTTCTAGTTCAGTTCAGTTTCTAGTTCAGTTCTAGTTCAGTTCTAGTTCAGTTCTAGTTCAGTTCTAGTTCTAGTTCAGTTCTAGTTCAGTTCTAGTTCAGTTCTAGTTCAGTTCTAGTTCAGTTCTAGTTCAGTTCTAGTTCAGTTCTAGTTCAGTTCTAGTTCAGTTCTAGTTCAGTTCTAGTTCAGTTCTAGTTCAGTTCTAGTTCAGTTCTAGTTCAGTTCTAGTTCAGTTCTAGTTCAGTTCTAGTTCTAGTTCAGTTCTAGTTCAGTTCTAGTTCTAGTTCAGTTCTAGTTCAGTTCTAGTTCAGTTCTAGTTCAGTTCTAGTTCAGTTCTAGTTCAGTTCTAGTTCTAGTTCAGTTCTAGTTCAGTTCTAGTTCAGTTCTAGTTCAGTTCTAGTTCAGTTCTAGTTCAGTTCTAGTTCAGTTCTAGTTCAGTTCTAGTTCAGTTCTAGTTCAGTTCTAGTTCAGTTCAGTTCTAGTTCAGTTCTAGTTCAGTTCTAGTTCAGTTCTAGTTCAGTTCTAGTTCAGTTCTAGTTCAGTTCTAGTTCAGTTCTAGTTCAGTTCTAGTTCAGTTCTAGTTCAGTTCTAGTTCAGTTCTAGTTCAGTTCTAGTTCAGTTCTAGTTCAGTTCTAGTTCAGTTCTAGTTCAGTTCTAGTTCAGTTCTAGTTCAGTTCTAGTTCAGTTCTAGTTCAGTTCTAGTTCAGTTCTAGTTCAGTTCTAGTTCAGTTCTAGTTCAGTTCTGGTTCAGTTCTAGTTCAGTTCTAGTTGAGTTCTATTTCAGTTCTAGTTCAGCTCTAGTTCAGTTCTAGAGCTAGAGGGTATAAGTTTGTTATGATTTAGCGTTCAAAAAGACAATATCGGTTCATGATTTCATATTTTAAGTTAATTTTCAAAGTGTAAGTGTAAATAAAATTCAAGATAAAGATATCCCATCATACGCATTACATTAACAATCTAATCATTACTAACCGGAACTAACAATTAAAAGTCAGCAGAAAGAAGAATAAAAACAAAAAATCATTGAAAATTTTAGCTCTGACACTGATGCTGAACACGAGTTGGTTAAATCGGCTGCCCTTAAAGCTGGTGCCTTTGCTGCTGTCGTTTGTACTCACTGGAGTGATGGTGGTGCTGGAGCTACTGAATTGGCTGAGGCTGTTATTAATGCCTGCAAAAATTCCCATAACTTCCAATATCTATATGACAATGAATTGTCGTTGTTGGACAAAATGAATACCATTGCCCAAAAAATGTACGGTGCAGCTAAAGTGGAACTAACGCCTAAAGCACAAAGTGCTATGGAAAAATTAACTAAAGCTGTAAGTTTTTAGTTAATATTCATCTTGTATTTTCTCATGAAATCTACCATATTTGTAATTTTTTTCAAGGGTTTTGGCAATTTACCCATTTGCATGTCTAAGGTAGCCGGTTCGCTTACCGGTGATGCTGCCATTAAGGGCGCTCCTAAGGGTTTCACTTTAACCGTTAGCAGCATGCATGTTTCTGCTGGTGCTGGTTTTGTCGTAGCCATGTGTGGTGAAATCACTAAAATGCCTGGTTTACCCACACGTCCCAGCATTTATGATATTGATTTGAATACTGAAACTGGTGAAATTGAAGGACTTTTCTAAATGCAAAAGAAACATCAATTTATTTTGTATATTTGTGGACAAAATTATTTGTATTTTTTAATATAATTACTCTTTTTAATTAATTAAGCTGATATTGTGTAAAGTTTAAAATATTTGTTAAATGTAAATAAATTGTATAACATGTTTTAATAACGGTTTTTATCCAAATCTTTTTCTAAATTATTGGTTTTATCTTTGACATTGAAAAAATCATTATTTAGGATTTTATGATCAAAATTAGAGGTGGCTGTTTTGTTATTGGTTTCAAAATTATTCACACAATTCATTTCGAATAGGGGATCATCATGTAGATCACGAAAATCATCTTCATCATCCTCGGATTCGGAGCTAGGGGTAAAAATTTTATAAATATTTAACAAAAAGTTAAATTTTACCAAACTCACCTAGTTTCATTGTCATAGACCCCTCCTCTTTGTTTGATTTCATTTGTTTGTTTATTAAATACAGGATTAGAACCTTCTACCGAGAAAACATTCATTGAAGGTCCTGCCAATCGATTAAGATTCGAAGCCACCGAACCAAATTCTGCCGGTTCAAAAGCTTTCAATTGTCTCTTTAAAGATCTTATTTTCAAGATATATAAAACGATCATTATAGCCGCAACAGCGCCTAATACAATATTTAATCCCCCTAAAACTGTTATTAACCAATTCTCTACAAATGGCGTCTGTGCTTCCATTTCGATATGGGGAATATCATTTAATATAAGATTATGATGTTGTAGAGAATTTTGTAAACGTGATATGAAAGCTAAATCATTAGATCGTCTTTGGATATCGTAGGCTTCAACGGCTTCATTGTTGTGTATAAAATGTACTTTAACTTCTGTTATAAAGGCTGATGAAGTATTGGTGGCTGTTTGTCGGGATTTTTGGTTACGTATATTCGTGACGTCATCTATTGAGTCAATATTGCAGATCTCATAGCCATAGATTTCTTGAAATTGTTCTCGCAACTGGAATTAGAAATAATTTAGAAGGGTTTATAAAGAATTCTTTCTTTCGTAATAGCACTTTTTTAAGATAATCTAATGTATTGACTAGTATATGAATTAGTCTATAAACTAGTGTGTCGACTAGTTTACAGACTAGTCTATGTTCTACTTTATCGAGTTTTTCTAGGGACTAGTCCATGAACCAGTCTATTGTCTAGTCTGAGGGATGGTTAACCGTCAGTCCATAGACTGACTTATCTATGAACTAGTCCTTCGACTAGTTTATCCACCTGGTTATGCGTTAGTTTTTGAACTAGTCTAACGACTAGTCTATGAACTAATCTAACGTCAGGTCTACAAACTATTCCTTCTAATAGTCTATTAACTAGCCTATCGAATACTCTACGGAATACCGACTAGTCTATCATCTAGTCTAGTCTTTATACTAGCCTATGGACTAGCCTATTGACTAGTTTATGGACTAGCCTATTGACTAGTATATGGACTAGCCTATTGAATAGTCTATGGACTAGCCTATTGACTAGTCTATGGACTAGCCTATTGGTTAGTCTATGGACTAGCCTTTTGACTAGTCCATAGACTACTCAACAGAATAGTTCATAGACTAGTCCACAGACTAGTCAAAAGGCTAGTCATGGGCTAATCCATAGACTAGTCTATAGACTAGCCCATTGTCTAGTCTATGGACTAGCCCATTGACTAGCCTATGGACTAGCCTATTGACTAGTCTATGGATTAGCCCATGACTAGCCTTTTGACTAGTCTGTGGACTAGTCTATGAACTATTCTGTTGAGTAGTCTATGGACTAGCCTATCCATTGGACTATGGACTAGCCTATTGACTGGATTATGCAATAGCCTTTAGACTAGACTATCGAATAGGGTACGGACTAGCCTTACGAAGTCTATGGGCTAGTCTATAAACTAATATGCAGACTAACCTTTTGAATAATCTGCAAATAAGTCTATAGACTATTCTATGGACTATTCTTTTAATAAATCTATGGACTAAAAAAATCATACTTACAAATTTCTCATTTTCTCTTATAACTTGTATATCACTCAAGAATACAAATTTCACACGATTCTTTTCCGAAACAATATAAATTTTTACTGAAGCTCGAGCTATATGACCCACCAAATCCACAGCCTCTATATCAAACATTAGATAACCTTTCATATTATTTGTTACATAAGAATTTAAAATTAAAACTCCCGATTCCGAGTCCAAGTATAAAATCTCGGAATAATTTTGAGCCAAATTTTCACCATGAACTTCATAGGTTGTTTGAGATAACGCATAAACTATAATGTCCTCCAAATCGGGATCTAGGGCCTGTAATAAATTAAAATTTGTCAAGAAATATATAACTCTAATAAGCAAAATCGTTTACCTTAAATGTCATTATATGTTTTCCTATGGAATCTTTGGTTGTAATACCTGCCGCATACATATCTTGGGTAAATTTTGGATCATTATCGTTAACATCGTTTACTGTTATGTTCACTAACAAGGTATAATTTACACTATTAGGATTAGTTATTAGACCTTGCTCATTATTGGAGACTTTTATGCGTAAACTAAGTTTGTCAATGTTTTCCCGATCCAAAGTGGTATTTAGTTTTAAAAGTCTTGTTTCAGGGTTTAATATGAAATTTTTGGCATCTTCAGGGTGAAAAGAATCTAAGAAACATTTAAAAAATATAAATCAGTCCAAAGTTATAAACCTTTCAGTAAGTTCCTCTTACCATCTATAAAATAATATAATTTATATGCCTCATCAGGATCATCTAAACCCTCATTTTTCGGATCATAAGCTTGTGGTATGTAACGTTTTTCGAAAAGACCTTGTTCGTTTTCTTAAAAAGAATTCAAATATGAAAAAATCTGCAACTTTTAAACTAATTAAGGATTTATTACCAGTAAAATCAGTATTAAAGGTCTCCTGTAAAAACATTGGATTACCCAACATATCTACAAAAACAATCTTAAGATTTCTGATTTCCGAAGAAGTACTACCGCCACCATCTATGGCACGCAAATTAATCTAAAAAAGAATTTACAACATAACATTAAATAAATCACAATAAGTTTTAAAAGGGTTTCCTTTAATTTTGAAGTATTTTTCGGAATAAATCGTGGCACTGTCATTAACTTACATTATAGATACCAGCTGTCATTAATTGTTTGACATAAAAGTTTGTAGAATTACGCGATTCCTTAACCAACTCAAAATATTTATCATGACCCGCTAAAAAGAATTTAATTTTAATAATTAAATCAAAAAGTTATGTCCTATTAAATACTACCATCACTAGAAATTTCAAAATGAACATCTCCATATTCTCCACCATCCGGATCAAAGACCTCAAAAGGTTTTAAACGTGTAACACAATCGGCTTGATATAAAGGACGTAAAGGTTCTTGCAGGGAATAGCTATAAAGAATAGCATAAGTTATTATGCCTTTCATTACTTCAAGCTACTTATCGTTTTAAGATATTACCAGATTCTTATAGATTTCTGCTTTGTGGGATTCACAATTTGAGGTTCATGAAAATTGTATGGTTTTATGTTGACTTCATATACGGAAGAATTTCTTTGTTGTGGTAGACCCTGATCGGAGGCTTCTATTTCGAGCTGCCACCAGCCATAGTAACCTTTTAAAGATTTCAAAGTTTTTAAGCGTCCAACACGATTGCGTAAAGTTGTGATGGTGAACAAATCATTAAAATCATGCACATCGGGATTGAAGTTTTTAACTAAGTGAGAGAAAAAAGGACAAGAAATTAATTATCGCATATTCATTGGTCAAAGTAAAGTTTCGTCCCTAAATGGGTGCACTATCACTTGCCGGAAGTACCGTTAAAGATCGAACATAGGGATGTCTAAGACATGGAACTTTAGACGACAACTTACTAATACCAGACCTTAAATATAAGCAGCATGCTTATGTAAAGGAACGATCGGTGGAAACCGCTTAAAACGAAGTTGTCCACTACATAGGTGAATCTTTCGATAGCAAACTGTATACACTGGCGGTATGCATTGACATCGAAGGCGCTTTCAATAACGTGCTCACTGATACCCTTATCCAATCCCTAGACCAGTTTTATGTTGACCGGGTGCTTCGTAACTGGATCAACTACATGCTAAGGAACAGATGGATAAGCTGCGAGATGTACGATATAACTATCAGGAAAAAGGTATTTCGCGGTATACCACAGGGTGGCATTTTGTCACCTTTACTCTGGGTTACCACGATTAATAGCCTCCTAAGGACCCTAACCGAGAAAGGACTTAGACCTGTCTGCTATGCAGACGATGTCGTAATACTTTTAAAGGGAAAGGATCCAAATTACTTGTGTAGAAGAGCTGAAGAGGCTCTTAATACAGCCTTGAGCTGGGCTCAACCGAGAGGCCTCAATGTGAAGACGGAAATCTGTCTTTTCACAAGAAAGACAAAAATTTCTACATATACTGAACCTTGTTTCCTGGGCAAGAATATACCGGTGACAGACAAAGTTAAGTACTTAGGTGTAATACTTGACCGGAAATTAAAATGGAGACACCACATAGAGAATAGAATCAACAAGGGATATCATGCTGGGCGATATGTAGGAGAACCATAGGCATGAAATGGGGTCTTAGTCCTACTATGACAAATTGGCTTTATAAAAGTGTAATTAGACCAAATCTAGCTTATGCTTCAATAATCTGGTGGACTGCTTTGGACTAAAAATGTAATATCAAACTACTACAGGGAGTTCAGCGTACATGCTGCTTGGGTATAAGTGGTGCCATGTGTACTACTTCAACCAAGGCTCTGGAAACGTTGCTAGATATTCCACCCATTGAAACATATATAAGATATGAGGCGGCGCTTACAGCCGAACGGCTCTTTACTTTGGCGAACTGGCCAAAAACGGTTATAGGACACGTCATCAATGTATACTGGACACATTGGAAGGTTATACACATTCATCGGACATGCCTGATCGCATACCAGACACAGAATATGTCGGAAACTTTGAAACGCTAATCCCAGATAGAATGTCTTGGTCAAGCGGAACATTCGAGTAAATACCAGTAGGAATCCGTTGTTACACGGATGGCTCTAAATTAGGGGACAAAGTGGGCCTGGGGTTCCATATTGAAGACCCAGAAACAGAAATATACCACCGTTTACCTAATCATAAC